GCTACCCGTCGGAGGCCGTCGGACATGCGAGAAGGGCTGCGTGCAGAACGTGAGTGAGCGAGAGAGTGAGCGAGAGGTGGGGGTTTACATAAAGCAAAGTTTAAAAAAAAATTACGAAATGATGAACGAAGCAAAGTGCCGACTACACCGAGCATCTTCTTGTTTCCACTGATCGTAAACAAAAAGAGAAACGTCGGTTTTGAGAGCGAGGGGAGAGAGACACATCAACACCGGTGAATGTGGAGACTCACGCTGAGTATTCTCGTGGGACGCGAGCCCTCCGGCGCCGCTGCTGGTGATGATGATGCTGCTGCTGCCGATGCCAATGGTGTTGATACCACAACCACCACGTAACTTCTGCATGCGTGGCGCTGCGTTTCCCATTCGCAGCCTCGCCCCCCTTCCAAGCACGCTCCACCCCTCCTCGGCCCAACTCTCTCGCAACGCTCCTCTCTCTCTCTTCCTCTACTACACCCCCACACACACACTCCCTCCTGCTCCTTCTCTCTCCCCTCTACAACACCCCCCACACAACACACTCACTCCTTTTTTTACGATCAGTGGAAACAAGAAGATGCTGTGTAGTCGGCACTTTGCTTCGTTCATTATTTCGTATTGTTTTTACTTTGCTTTATGTAAAACCCCCACCTCTCGCTCACTCTCTCGCTCACTCTCTCGGTCACTCTCTCTCTCTCCCCCTCTACAACACCCCCCACACACACACTCACTCCTGCTGCTCCTTCAGAGCTACTCCCCCCACTCTCACAACCCGGATCGGGGCAGCTCTCCCTTGGGGGTGATGATGTTGATGATGATGACGTTGATGATGATGATGATAATCCCCCGACTCTGAAGCCTTGTGAGTCCCACGGACTTGTGATCGCACGTGTGTGCACGTGTATGTACGTGTGTGCACGTGTGTGTACGTGTGTGCACGTGTATGTACGTGTATGTACGTGTGTGCACGTGTATGTACGTGTGTGCACGTGTGTGCACGTGTGTGCACGTGTGTGCACGTGTGTGTACGTGTATGTACGTCTATGTACGCTGACCTTCTTTCGCACCGTACGTAGCCAACGCGTGCGAATCGGAGGTACAGGGGGAAGGGACAACACACACTGAACGCAAGACGCAGATAATGCTCCGTGTCCCGGATTATAAGACCCCCCCCCTTCCCCCCTGCACTTAAAAGTGGGAGTTGAGTATGGGTGTACAGTATACTTAACCACATTTCTATGACTTTGATGTCTAGGAAATAAATGTTTGAAAGAAAATGGTGAAGATGAGAGGGAATTGAGGTGGGCGATGTGCCTATGGTAATTTAAGCATCTCAAATTCACAATTTTACATGAACGCTCTGTAAGTATTGCGAATGTGCTGTGTGTCTTGCTATGGCTTTAATTAAAATTAAATAGCACGCTGTGCTTAGTGTGCAGTTTGGACTCGAGCCCGAACTTTCCCCGAATGCGCCACCCCAAATACGTGGACTCGCCTCCATCTCCCCTCTCATCTCACTCTACTCCCCTCCACTCACTCCCCCCCTCTCATCTCACTCTGCTCCCCTCCACTCACTCCCCCCCTCTCATCTCACTCTACTCCCCTCCACTCCCTCCCCCCCTCTCATCTCACTCTGCTCCCCTCTACTCACTCCCCCCCTCTCATCTCACTCTACTCCCCTCCACTCACTCCCCCCTCTCATCTCACTCTACTCCCCTCTACTCACTCTCTCCTCTCATCTCACTCTACTCCCCTCCACTCACTCTCCCCTCTCATCTCACTCTACTCCCCTCCACTCACTCCCCCCTCTCATCTCACTCTACTCCCCTCCACTCACTCCCCCCTCTCATCTCACTCTACTCCCCTCCACTCACTCTCCCCTCTCTCATCTCACTCTACTCCCCTCCACTCACTCTCCCCTCTCATCTCACTCTACTCCCCTCTACTCACTCTCCCCTCTCTCATCTCACTCTACTCCCCTCCACTCACTCCCCCCTCTCATCTCACTCTACTCCCCTCCACTCACTCCCCCTCTCTCATCTCACTCTACTCCCCTCCACTCACTCTCCCCTCTCTCATCTCACTCTACTCCCCTCCACTCACTCCCCCTCTCTCATCTCACTCTACTCCCCTCCACTCACTCTCCCCTCTCATCTCACTCTACTCCCCTCTACTCACTCTCTCCTCTCATCCAATTACTCCCCTCCACTCACTCTCCTACCTTTATTTTCATTTGTTTGCTGGTGACTTTGTGTATTTCATATCGAAATCGCCTCCAGTGCTGTTGCTGCTGGCGGCAATAAAAGTTGTTTAAAAGTCAAAAGTCTAATCTCACTCTACTCCCCTCCTCTCCCCTCTCATCTAGCTACTCCACTCCACTCACTCTCCTACCTCTCCCCTCTCATCTCACTCTACTCCCCCTCCACACTCTCCTACCTCTCCACTCTCATCTCACTGCACTCCCCTCCACGCACTCTCCTACATCTCCCCTCTCATCTCACTGCACTCCCCCTCCACGCACTCTCCTACCTCCCATCTCACGGGGTCCGTAGCGACTACATATGTAGCTACTACATGTATAGTAGCTACATGTATAGTAGCTACATGTATAGTAGCTACATGTATAGTAGCTACATGTATAGTAGCTACATACTATAGTAGCTACATATGTAGTAGCTACATTTGTAGTAGCTACATGTGTAGTAGCTACATGTGTAGTAGCTACTACATTACATATGTAGCGACTACATTAGTAAGCTACTACGCTACATTAGTAAGCTACTACACCACTACACTACACATGTAGTAGCTACTACACATGTAGTAGCTACTACACATTTAGTAGCTACTACACATGTAATAGCTACATTACTAGCTACTACACGTGCAGAGCTTTGTGATGTCATATTTGAGGGGGGGGGGGTCTTACTTTTTGTGACGCCGTGTGATGAGGAGGGGGGGTCAACAATCGTCCAAAATCGCGTGACGTCATTTATGGACGCTCCCAAAGCACAGACTTGTCCCATATATCCACTCATTCTCCCATCCATTCGCTGCTGCTGCTGCTATGCACGTCTTTCCCTTTATCGATGTACGCGCCGTTGAGTCTCATTGCACACACGGTATTTTATTTTCACAATGGGCCCAAACTTGGCATGTTTTGTCCCTATCCGTACAACACATTGGGAGGTAATTAATCACCTCCAGCACGCTACTTCCTGCAGTGCCAATGCCCCCGCTCCTTCTCAAATTTCAACTCTGAAAAGTTTGCGCACTGCCCCGGGGTTGTAACCACCACCACCATCACCAACCACCACCAACCACCATCACCACCACCATCACCACCAACCACCATCACCACCACCACCAACCACCATCACCACCAACCACCATCACCACCACCATCACCACCACCACCAACCACCACCACCATCACCACCAACCACCATCACCACCATCACCAACCACCATCACCACCAACCACCATCACCACCACCATCACCACCACCATCACCACCAACCACCATCTCGCCACCAACCACCATCACCACCAACCACCATCACCACCACCACCATCACCACCATCACCACCATCACCCCCATCACCACCACCACCATCATCACCACCATCACCATCACCACCATGACCACCACCAACCACCATCACCACCATCACCACCACCAAACACCATCTCCACCATCACCACCATCACCACATCATCACCATCACCACCATCACCACCAACCACCATCTCCCCACCAACCACCATCACCACCATCTCCACCACCACCAACCACCATCTCCCCACCAACCACCATCTCCACCACCACCATCTCCACCATCACCACCATCACCACATCATCACCATCACCACCATCACCACCAACCACCACCTCCCACCACCACCATCACCACCATCTCCACCACCACCAACCACCATCACCATCACCACCACCATCACCACCACCACCAACCACCATCACCACCACCACCATCACCACCATCCACCACCACCAACCACCATCACCACCATCACCACCACCATCACCACCATCACCACCAACCACCATCACCACCACCACCAACCACCATCACCACCATCACCACCATCACACCATCACCACCAACCATCATCACCACCATCACCACCATCACCACCAACCACCAACCACCATCACCACCATCACCACCACCACCAACCACCATCTGCCCACCAAGCCACCGCTTTCACCCAGCCGTCCGGGGGGGGGGGGAGAACCGTCGTCTCTCCGGATCCACCACGTGCGCAGTCGCCACGTGGACCGACACTGCCGCGCCCGTCATCACCTGCAGCTACTCGAGTTGGCCCCAGAGTGGCACTGTGACCCCCCCCCCCCCCTCCGACTCGTCAACTCGCTCGCTGAGCCCGTACGGGAGGTGGGGAGAGGGGGGTGTGGGATCTGGGACTGAAAAGTTCTGCTACGAATAGGGGCCGTCCATAAATGACGTAACAAGATTTTGGACGATATTTTACCCCCCACCCTCATCATCACACGGCGTCACAAAAAGTCAGACCCCCCCTCTCAAATATGACGTCACAAAGCTCTGGCCCCCTCCTAAAAAAAACATGCTTCAAATCGCTTTCAACTATTGTCATTGTAGTGCGTATTTAATGTGGCGCTGATGTCGTCGGAGAAAACATTAATTAAAAGTCTATTTAATTAAGTAGAACGTGTTGTTTATATTTCAAGTTGCGCATTTTGATGTGACGTCGCATTTCTCAAACCCCCCCCCCCCCCTCGTATTCACACATCGTCACAAATATCTGACCACCCCCCCCCCCCCCAGGTGCGTGACGTCATTTATGGACGGCCCCTTCGACGGCTTGCCGCCAACTGAATTTTAAATGCGTTGAGTATTTTTTTTGGGGGGGGGCGGGTGGCGTGGGTACTGGGGAAGTGTTCCTTGCAATGGATGTGAGCAAAGCCACGTGGGGGGGGGGGGGGTATAACCGAGTTGGGGCTTAATGGCTGAGACGAACGAACGGAAGGAACGGGGCTCCCGTGTGCGCTGCTGCCTGCTGCTCCTGCTGCTGCCCTTGCTGCTGCTGCCCTTGCTGCTGCTCTTGCTGCTGCTTTTGCTCCTGCTGCTGCCCCTGCTGCTCTTGCTGCTGCTGCTCTTGCTGCTGCTGCTCTTGCTGCTGCTGCTCTTGCTGCTGCTGCCCTTGCTGCTGCTGCCCTTGCTGCTGCTGCTGCTGCACTTGCTGCTGCTGCTCTTGCTGCTGCTGCCCTTGCTGCTGCTGCACTAGCTGCTGCTGCTCTTGCTGCTGCTGCCCTTGCTGCTGCTGCCCTTTCTGCTGCTGCTCTTGCTGCTTCTGCCTTTGCTGCTGCTGCCCTCGCTGCTGCTCTTGCTCCTGCTGCTGCCCTTGCTGCTGCTCTTGCTCCTGCTGCTGCCCTTGCTGCTGCTGCGCCCGTGACATCGCGAGACGAACCCCAGACGTCGAGGCGCTGCGTGGCACGGGGAGGGAGAGGCGGTAGGGGCCCCCCACCTTGTTGTGTACACGGCAGGACGCACGCAAATCCGAATCTCAGCAATGCCCCTAAACCCAACCGTGAACCCGCATTAGCTAATCAGTCCAACCATCACCCGACCGCTAATATGACAAATTGCCACTAATTTGACTAATTGCCATCACCGTACGAGCCAATTACACGATAACTCCAACCCGTGCTGTTTGCTAACATCTGTCAATCACAACCCAGACACGATCCCCTCCCACCGAAACCCTCTCCACCCCCCCCCCTGCACCCACCCCCCTCCGTCAGTCATCGCTTCGCTCCTCACGCCGGGCAGAAACAGCGCCCTCTAGCGGCCTCGGGTTAGACAGGCGGCGGTGGTGGCAGTGGTGGTGGGGTGGTGGGGGGTGGTGGTGAGACGTCAGTTGCCAGGGCTCGGCACCCCTAGCCCCATGGCTCCGTTGAGTCCCCCCACAATCACCCCCCCCCCCCGCTCACCCCCCCCCGCTCACCCCTCCCTCCCACCCACAATCACCCCCCCCTCACCCCCCTCCCTCCCACCCCACAATCACCCCCCCCTCACCCCCCTCCTCACCCCCTCCTCCCACCCCACAATCACCCCCCCCTCACCCCCTCCTCCCCCTCCCCCACCCCACAATCACCCCCCCCTCACCCCCCTCCCTCTCACCCCACAATCACCCCCCCCCTCACCCCCCTCCCTCACCCCACCTCCCCTCCCACCCCACAATCACCCACCCCCCAATCACCCCCCTCCCTCACCCCCTCCCTCCCACCCCACAATCACCCCCCCCTCACCCCCTCCCTCCCACCCCACAATCACCCCCCCCTCACCCCCCTCCCTCACCCCCTCCCTCCCACCCCACAATCACCCCCCGCTCACCCCCCTCCCTCCCACCCCACAATCACCCCCCGCTCACCCCATGACGGGAGGCAAGAGGAGCCCGGAGCCAGGACGCGAGAGGCAGACGGGGCCATGGAGGAGGAGGAGGAGGTGCAGACGCGCTCGGTGGAGCACATCCTCGCCCTGCTGATGGCGCAGGTGAGGCTCCCCCTTGTGGCTCCACCTGGACCCTCACAGATTATCCTCGAGCGCACCCCCTCCCACCCCCCGTGTGTGTGTGACGCTCCTCCCACACCCACCCCACACACCTTTCTAAGTAGCGGTAGCTCGTTGTACTACGAACCTAGCCACCCGAGTTCGATTCCAACACCGGTGACGATTATCTGAATCGGTCCTGGGCCTCCCCTAGGTCGACTCAGACTACCAACACCGGTGACGATTATCTGAACCGGTCCTCGGCCTCTCCTAGGTCGACTCGGCCTCAAATGAGTACCTGGTGCGGTGCGTAAACATCGCTACTCGGGAGACAAAGGCGACCGGCTCGTGGTGGCTGGCTTACTCGCCCCTTCGTGTGCCGTGCCGGCCTTCATAGGTGCTCGCTAACAGCACTTGCCCCAACAGTCTGTGCAGGCTATACGGGGGATCTTTGTCTTTGTGAGTAGAAACTCCCTTCGCCTTTCCAGGTGAGGTCGCCGGCTGAATTTGTCAGCTGGATTCGTGTGGAATTGGCAGTTTAGTTGCTGCAGCTGCTGCCGAGTTGATTGTATATTTGGTGACAACGAGCATGCTTGTTGGGGGTAAGCGCTTCAGGTGTCACCTCCACGTGCGCTGAGCACTCACCGTGGCGGCTGAGCTGCGTTCGCGATTGATCGAGTGATTTGCACCTTTTAGGAGGCAGACCAGGAGGCATGGGCGCGTTATTATAATCAATGTTTTAGAGCCGTTCAGTTTTCTTCATTCAGTTGGCACGGATTGATATTCGCGACTGAGTGAAGGTTACGGCTGTAAATTTCCCGGCAGATTGTTCAGCCAGCTTGTGACTCAGTAGCGCTTTTGTGTGAAGCCAATAGTCGTCATCCTATCCCAAATGCTGACCCTGCCAGAGAAATGTGGAATTTCCACCACGGGCTCAAGGGCCATGCTCTATTGAGATAAGGATAGAGTCAGGGACGACAATTTGACTTGCTTTGAAAGTTCCACAAATTTTGGACCTCAATAACTGATCAACCATAATTAATGATCGTACAAACTCCACTAGTTGTTGTGAGGCTTGCGTCTCCACGTGTTAATACAAATGTGTATTTGTCCAAAGAAACCGGTGCACAGTTTGCTTGCTTCCTTCGACATAGCCCTGGACAGCCACACTCGTTTCCTTTGAACTGCTCTTTGTGTTGAAAGAAGTTCAACGTGCATACAACGTAGCCCACGGTAAACACGGGACGTTGGCACGTTTACCGGGAAGGCCGATGGGGCCGAACCGCATTTGTCTATTCCCGATATGGAGGCGCGGCATCTCGCGCCTCTTCTCCTGAATGTTGAATCCACTCGTGAAAGTGACGAGGTGGAGGAGGGGCTCGCGATGTTGGACGCCGTCGCTGTACCGAAAACTCCGCGCGTACGCAAGACCACTCCCGTCCTCTCGGCATTCTGGGAGGCCCGGGGGATCATTTCTGAAAACCGACCCACAGATGCGAAGAACTTGCAAGAACGTCCGTCCAATTTTAGGGCGCAGCTATTTTCATTGACACAAGTTGCGTGGACGTGGCGGTGGTGGTGGTGGTGGCGGTGCTGCGGTGCTAACCGCTTGCGGCAGTGGATACTTCTACAACCACGGTATCGGGGTGTCTCCGTTGTGTTAGCAACACCGGTTCACGATGTTCGCAAAAACATTCGCGCAAATGAATCTCCGCACGGACGTTTTTGCATGCGCACAGAGAGAGAGGGCACCGTGGAAGTCCCACTCCTCATGCAAAGTCGACTTAATCATCATCAGCAGCAGCAGCTGGATGACGTCTTCTCCAAGCCTTTAAAAAAAATATAGATCAAGGTTCAACAATCAATCGTGCTCCTGCGCAAGAGCGAATCTGGTCATTCCATCTCCGCGGAGGACGCCCTCTCGGACAGAGTTCCCTCCGTCGGCCGCCACCGCTCTCGTCCATCAAATCCCTTAGAACTCCTCCTAGCCAAGGGTGGGATCGCAAACGGGAGTACGCCCGTCGCAGAGACGGAGCGATGAAATGTTAGTTCACGTTTGGGAGCGAGATTCAGTACAGCGTGACTAGACCATGCGAGATGGTGGGGAGGTATTTAATACAGCAGTGGATAGAACATGACGTATTATGGTGTCCAATTAGAGGCTTACATACCAGCACTGCTGTATAGAAAGTGTTGAGAGAGTTTGTTTAGGAAATTAATAATTTGCTGATTACTCCATGGAGCAATAGAGTAATTGTCTCCCATAACGTCACGCTTTAATCGGTTATTTTCAAAAGTAAGGTCATATATTTTGTTTTTCTTAAACGCATGTTTATTAGTTGGGGAAGTCACGGCACTCCGCTAAGTTCGTATCGTTTCGTAACGTGATCTGCGCTTGGATGAGAAGCAGCTGTTCTTGCGTTCAGCCCCAGCCGCCGACACGCTCAGAAAATAAAAGGTTCCAGTAATCATGAAAATGTAATCAACCGATGCATCGCTCGGTGACATTAATCTGATTGCGTGCTAAAACACGAGAGTACAAATATGAAATTACCAATACCACCCGCCTCCTCTGATAATTTGATAACACTAAGCCCATTAGTCGTGATCTTACCGGTAGCTTTGTCAGTCCACTGCCAGAGGACAATCTCTCTCAATGCTGTCGATGACCTCCTCTCTCCATGCTGGAGAGAGGAGGTCATCGTCTGCTGGACGGTGTATGTCTGGTACTTAGTTGCGACTGTTAGTGTAACTACCCATATGCCAATTAAAAAATTGGTCATCATAAATGTATTTTTTCAAGGCCCCATTGTGTAAAGTTTCCAACTCTTAGCATCCTCTGATCTCTGGCCTTTGTGCTATGAAGAGCTATTTTCCAAAATGTAGCGTATACTATATATATTCCTCTCAAGACCACACACAGTGTTATTCATAAATGTCTACATTTTGTTGTTATTTCTCAAAGATCTGATGTTTGACCATACTTCACCACACCGGACAGTGTGGGTCGGCGAAACGCGGGGAGACTTAGCGCCGGTTTTGGATATCGCTCACCGCTCATATTTCACCTGGCCAGAAATCAAACTCGTGTCGCCAGGCTCGAACCACTACAACAAGCACTTTCAGAGACGACCACCACAACGCCGCGTGTCCTAGATTCACACACACTCACACGGGCGAGTGGCACGTCCGGTTTTAGCCGCTGTAAGGGGATCGCGCACGTGACCAGGCCCTGCCTTGATCCTTCCACTGCTGCCTCGGTGTGACGATGCCAGGGGAATGGCTGGCATTCAGGCCCGTAAAATCCGCGCCTTCTTTGACGCGGCGTAGACAGCTGCTAGCCTCTCTCACGACCCGGTGTTGGGTGGAGGGGAGGGTCCTGTGACCAAAATATGGGTTCCCTTGCGGGTGAAATAGACATCTCTTTCATTTTACAAGCCGACCACGCGTCAGATATTTTTTGCGTTGGTTCCTCTTGTATGGACTAACTGTGTAAGGTCAAAGTAGATTCGAAGCTTTCGTGACCGCAGGTATTACTCTTTGGTTATTTTCGGTAAAGTCACGTGGAAAGAAATTAAATTAAATAATAGAATACGACGTTGCGATTGCAACACAAGCAACCATCGTCTGGTACAAATGCATGAGAAAACAAACGTAGTAAACTTGGAAATATAATAGAATACAACACAGAGAGTCGGCCAATACCACAGTCAACCTGGTTGATTACGTTCCTAAAAAGATTGCTAAATTTGAGAGAGCGACACACACATAGACACGGAGACACACACACAGACACACAAGCAGAGAGAGACTCACACATAGCAAGGTCACACAGAGTTCAGGTGTCTCCCTGCGCTAAACGAGCGATGGAACAGCAGTCTCTTCTGCTGGCCGTTGTCAACGTCAGGGGGCTCAAATATTCCACATTCCTATGCCATGCACAGGTCTCGGGGAAAGCTGCTACTTTGTTTCAATCAGCCTCGGAGGAATGGCCGGGGAAAAGTTGACCCCCCTCCCCCACCACCCGCGCCCGAGAACCGCAATCGGAGCTTGCGGCCGTGGGGCGCTCGCTTTGCCAGAAGCGGGCAGCCCTGCGGAGGGTGCGGCACGTCTTGCAGGGGACTAGGGGCCGCGAAGGTAAAGGCGCAGCGCTGAAATCGCTCGCTCGGGCCACTGCAGGCAAGCAAGGGTGGGTGGGGGGGGGGGGGGGCTCCGCTAGAGGGAGCACGTTAGAGAGCCCCTCCAGAATGGCATTTGGGCTAATATTTCACACTGGCCAGGACATCTTGGAACACGTGGGAATTGTACGCAAATTACCCAATTGGAATAATAAAAAAGCAGCAATCCTCGCCCCCTACTGGCAGACTGATGCCTCAAGGTCACTTGCAAATGAGACTGCTGCTGCTCTCTTGAGCGCTCACCGCCTTGGTTAAAGAAAACAAACCGAACACTTTACACCCCCCCCCCCCCCCCCCGCTTACTCGCGATCTGCCGATCATCCGCCTGAGGACGAACCCAGCTGACAGTTTACACGGCTTGATGGACCAAGGCGGCTGGGAGATTCAAGAAACTTTCAACTGCCGCGCCGGGCGGTCGAACCGGTCACTTGGGAATCGCAAAGCCCAGTGTAACAACTCTAGAACCCTGCGGCAGCACCTCCATGGATTAGACCCCCCCCCTCACCCACTATTTACTACCGCTGGCGGTGGCGAGATGTTAACTACCTCGCCTGGTATGCAGGAGGTCGTGGGTTCGATCCCGACCCTGACGCTTGCTGCTGTATATTTGGAGTTTGTGTGTCTCTCTCATCATCTTCACGGTGGCTAGATGTTAACTACCTCGCCTGGTGTGCAAGAGGTCGTGGGTTCGATCACCAACCCTGACTGATGCCAGCTGCTGTATATTTGGAGTTTGTGTGTCTCTCTTATCATCATCACGGTGGCTAGGAGATGTTAACTACCTCGCCTGGTGTACAGGAGGTCGTGGGTTCGATCCCGACCCTGACGCCTGCTGCTGCTGTGTATGGAGTGTGCATGTCTCTTTCTTTCCAGGTGGATTTTTCCTCCGGGTCCTACGATTTTTCCCCTCCACGTTTAGAATCAACATCACGCGTTTAGAGACATTCGTCCACTATAAATGTCCACGAGTGATGATGATAGGCCACTTCACTTGTGGTAGCCAGGTCGCTCCTGAAAAAAGGATCCACACATGTAGCTCAGGGGCCGTCCATAAATGACGTCACGCACCTAGGGGAGGGGGGGGGGTCAGACATTTGTGACGATGTGTGACGAGGGGGGGGGGGGGTGAGAAATGTGACATCACATCAAAATGCGCAACTTTAAATAAATATAGACAACACGTTCTCCTTAATTAAATAGACTTTTTTAAAATAAATGTTTTTTTCCTCTAACATCAGAGTGCAGCGCCACATTAAATACGCACTACAATGACAATAGTTTAAAGCGATTTGAAGCATTTTTTTGTGGGGGGGGGGCAGAGCTTTGTGACGTCATTTGAGAGGGGGGGTCTGACTTTTTGTGACGCCGTCTGACGATGGGGGGGGGTAGAGGGGGGGGGATAAAAAATCTTACAAAATCGCGTGACGTCATTTACGGACGGCCCCTTAGCGGCCTCACCTGGCCAAGAATAAACATCGTTTACAAGTCCGCGCTTTAACGCCCAACGCTACTCGCTCCCCGCAGACCACGACTCTCGTCAGCTGGCAGGCGGCCCGGCGCTGGGCAGCCGGGCCGCCGGCGGCGGAGGCGGCCGGGGCGGCGCGGGCCGGGCGCGACCTCCTGCGCGCCGTGGAGCGCTTCGCCCGCCTCGGGGAGCTGCTGGCCGCACAGGAGCACGAGCTGGAGCCGGCCGCACTGCGGGCCAGCGCCGATGTCCGCGGGGCGGGTACGGGGAGACGCGGCGGTTGGGGGCTGATGTGGGGGCGGGGACACTGGGTGGAGGGGGAAGTGGGGGGGGGGGGACGGGGTGGGAGGGGAGGGGGACGGGGGGGGGAGGGGGGAAGTGGGGGGGGGGGACGTGGGGGGGGGGACGGGGTGTGGGGGGAGGGGGGAAGTGGGGGGGGACGGGGTGGGAGGGGGGAAGTGGGGGGGGACGGGGGGGAGGGGGGAAGTGGGGGGGGGGGGTGGGGGGGACGGGGTGGGGGGGAGGGGGGGAAGTGGGGGTGGGACGGGGGGGGGAGGGGGGAAGTGGGGGGGACGGGGGGGGAGGGGGGAAGTGGGGGGGCACGGGGGGGGAGGGGGGAAGTGGGGGGGGACGGGGGGGGGAAGGGGGGAAGTGGGGGGGGGGACGGGGGGTGAGGGGGAAGTGGGGGGGGAGGGGACGGTGGGACACTGTGAGGTGGGGGGGTGGGGGGTTCAGAGGCGGCGGGACATGGGGGAGGTGGAACGTGGGGGTCACGGGGGGGGGGGGGACATGTGGGGCAGTGACGACATCACGCGTCGGCTTGTTGCAGAGGTAGGCGGTGGTTCGATCCCTGCGGCCGTCCTGGCTAATACTGAGGGCGTATGAAACGCAACGACCGCGTGCCGTCTGCGTCGCAGCAGACGTAGAAGGTGCCGTGTGTGCCGATGCTCGTGGTCCAAATTTGCAAAATTTCAACGTTTTACAATGAGCTCAGCCTTGTGTCGTGAGCGCGGCGCAAACGCCAAATGCAGCTGTGGCTGCTGAGCATCGGGGCCAAAGGCTCGCGTTGGTGGAGAGGCAGCTTCCTCTCACGTTTGGCAGAAAAACGATCGGATTGTTAATTGATTTTTTTTCTTTTCCCCACTGATTTGGATGGGCGGGATTTTTTCGCGGATAATCAACGTAAAATTAGTTTCCAGTGACGCGCATCAATTAGGCCGTCTGTCTGCGGCCAAGGGCACGTGTGGGATCTCCTACTGGAGACCACCTACGGTGGAGCCCTCATCCAGCGGTGAATTGAATGGACATGTAAAGCAAGGCCCCCTCCCCAGTGTACGCTCATACTCGTCGGTCGTTTATCCGCGAGGTTCGTCTCCGATGGAGTTTGTTGCGGCGTCTCGGGCGCGCGCGTTCGCAGGAAGGAGGATCGCGGAGCTGATGGGCGCAGGTGTCCCCGGAGGGCAGGAGAATGAGGACGAACCTGCTCCGGATAGAGGTCAGAGGTCAGCGCTCCCGGACGCCGTGCCGGAGCAGCCCGGGCTGGCGCGAGCGGCCCGCCTGCTGCTCTCCTCCGTGGCACGCACCCTGCTCCTGGCCGACCGCGCCGCCATTAAGCACATCGTCGGGTTCCGCAATCAGGTGCGAGCGCTTGTGTGTGTGTGTGTGCCTGCCAGTGGGGAGCGGTGGCGCTGTGGCGTGGCTGGGTGCAGGTGCTGCAGTGGGGAGCGGTAGTGTAGCGGTTAGCGCTACGCTGCGCTATGAACCCGGCGACACGGGTTCGATTCCTGCTCACGGCCAACACCGGTGACGATTATCTGAACCGGTCCTGGGCCTCCCCTAGGTCGACTCAGCCTCAAATGAGTACCTGGTGCGGTGTGTAAACATCGCCACTGGGGAGACAAAGGCGGTCGGGCGTGGTGCTGGCCACCCACCCCCTCGTGTACCGTTCTGGCCTTCATAGGTGCTCGCTAACAGCACTTGCCCCTACAGTCTGTTAAGGCTATACGGGGGATCTTTATCTTTGTCTTGTGCGCGCCTGTCGGTGGGGAGCGGTGGCGCTGTGGCGTGGCCGACACGCCGTGGCGCGGGTGTCTCACCGCCCGCGGCGTGGCTGGGTGCAGGTGCTGCAGAGTCTGGAGGGCCTGGAGAGAGCGGAGAGCCCTGCGGAGATGGTGCTGGCCTTCAACGACTTCACCGAAGCCATCGAGCCCTTCGTCAACCTCTCGGCCGAGCGGGAGCGGGTGTGTCCCACCGTCCCTCTCACACCATCATCACCTACATCATAATTATCTCCCACATCATCATCATCACCTACGTCATCATAATCATCATCTCCGACATCATGATCATCACCTACATTATCATAATCATCATTTCCGACATTATGATCATCACCTACATCATCATCATCATCATCTCCGACATCACGATCATCACCTACATCATCATCATCATCATCTCCTACACCATCATCATCATCGCAATAATATTCGTCGTAGTCACAATTTGCTTTCGCCCCATTAGGGATCTATGCAGTTCGTGTGCCAGTACTGAATGGATTGATGCATGGCAAGATCATGAGAGTAGACGGTGGATTGGGGAGGCCTTCATCCAGCAGTGGATTGACCATAACCGATGATGATAGTGATGATGATGATGATCGACGTCTGTCTCTACAATTTTGGCAGCCTAACACCAGATGTGCTATCTCAGCGGTCGTGTCTCGACTGTTTAGGAGCTGCAGGATGCGTGGCAGAAGGGAGAGTTGGCAAAGTGTGGTGGCATCTACTGTATCGGCCATGATGGCATGATTATTTTAATCTTGGTTGGCAGCGTGGCACTTGGCCTGCGGTGGGCAGATCATAAATCCCTGTCTAGGGTCAACTTTTCGCCTCCCTACACTCGGCTAAATCGGTAGCGTTGCTGTCAGGCCGTTTCATGAATTGTCCCTGCAATGGTAATGTGGAATTTCCACCACGAGCTCAAGACTGACCGACACAGATGAGCACGGTCCAAAACACTTGTGGTCAGTTTGTTGCGCCTCCGGTTTCGGCTACGTACGGCGCGAAAGAAATCCAAGCGTACGTGAGCACAACAATAGGCGTGCTCTCCTGGCTTGCGGGGTCGGGGGGCACGTGGGGGGCGTAAACTCGTGAGAATCGGTCCCTCCTCGCCGGCGCTCAGGATCTCAAGGACGAGCGGCAGGCGGCGCGGATCGGAGTCGCTCGGGATGTGCTGGAGAAGGCCCCCATGATGATGCTCGCTGCGTGCAAGGCAAGTGCGGTTGCCTGCTGCGCGCAAGGCAAGTGCGGTTGCCTGCTGCGCGCAAGGCAAGTGCGGTTGCCTAGTCTGCGGCGCCCCCAAGGACAAGTGCGGTTGCCTGACTGCGCGCAAGGCAAGTGCGGTTGCCTGCTGAGCGCAAGGAAAGTCGGTTGCATGCGGCGCGCAAGGCAAGTGCGGTTGCCTGCTGCGCGCAAGGCAAGTGCGGTTGCCTGCTGCGCGCAAGGCAAGTGCGGTTGCCTGCTGCGCGCAAGGCAAGTGCGGTTGCCTGCTGCGCGCAAGGCAAGTGCGGTTGCCTGCTGCGCGCAAGGCAAGTGCGGTTGCCTGCTGCGCGCAAGGCAAGTGCGGTTGCCTGCTGCGCCCCCCCCCGGGGGGGCTGGGGGGGGGGGGGGGGGGGGGTACTGAGCCCCCCCCCCGCAAGGCAGTGCGGTGCCTGCTGCTCGAAATGGCAAGTGCGGTTGCCTGCTGCGCGCAAGGCAAGTGCGGTTGCCTGCTGCGCGCAAGGCAAGTGCGGTTGCCTGCTGCGTGCAAGGCAAGTGCGGTTGCCTGCTGCGTGCAAGGCAAGTGCGGTTGCCTGCTACGCGCGCCGCAACCGCAGCGCCGGATTATCCTAGGAGCAAAAGTGTGTGTAGTAGCTACTACTACATATGTAGTAGTAGCTACTACTGCATATGTAGTAGTCGCTACTAATGTAGTAGCTACATGTGTAGTAGCTACGGGCCCCGCACTTTCAAGCAGAGGTGGGACAAAGTCATTGTTATGCAAGTCCAAGTCGAGTCTGAAGTCATCAAATTCATGACTCGAGTCTGACTCAAGTCCAAGTCACATGACTCGAGTCCACACCTCAGAGGTGAGACAAAGTCATTGTTATGCAAGTCCAAGTCGAGTCTGAAGTCATCAAATTCATGACTCGAGTCTGACTCGAGTCCAAGTCACATGACTCGAGTCCACACCTCTGCTTTCAAGGGCCCCGCGCTAAATGCTTTCGAGCTATCAATTCCGATTCAGTGATTCTGCACTTGCTCTATTACTGTAGTACTATACCGCCTTCGACTTTTACGAACGACTGGGTGGTTAAAGTTGAGCGATTTGTCGTATTATCTGGCTGTATAGCAAATGAAAAAAATCCAATTACTTTGCTATGCAAGTAAAAAAAAATTGTGTTTTCAATGACCCGGTGGCGCTCGTCGCACGCAGACGCTGCTGTCGCACGGCGGCTGCGGGGCTGCGCGGGCGGCGCGAGAGCGCGTGCTGGGCCGCGTGCGCTCAGCCACGTGCCGAGTGGTCGACATCGTCGCCGCCGAGACGACCCACGCGGCAGGCGGCGGCGGCGGTGGCGGGAACCGCGGCCCCACCGGCACCACGGTGAGTTCCATACAAGACCGCACTTTCTTCGGAAACTATTTTCGTTAAGTAGCCCGAGCGCATATATATGCACATGTGCATATTTCTGGACGTGAAAAACATACTCCGGCTTTCGCGGTGGGCTGCGCGGCCCATGGATGAACCGTCGCCACTTCAGTTTAGTCGCGAGGACGATGGAAGACGGAGCAACGGAAGGGCCCGAGGGAGCGTACAAGGATCCTGCTTCCCTAAATGTCGATTTAAAGCTTTCGTGACTGCAGGGATTCATCTTCTTGGTTCTTTCGGTAAAGTCACGTAGAATGGAAATAATAAAATAATAAAAATAAAACATAATAAAATCATTCTCACGACGTTTCGGCCACAACGCAAGCAGCCGTTCTCAGGTGAAGAACAGAGTCTTCTCGACAGACCTGCTTGCGTTGTGGCCGAAACGTCGTGAGAATTATTTCATGTTTTATTTTTATTATTTTATTATTTCCATTCTACGTTACTTTACCGAAAGAACCAAGAAGATGAATCCTGCATCCCTGTTGGCTCGGCCGCTGATTGGAACGCTTCACAGCCCTCGTTGCCACATTCAATTAGCCTGCTCTTCATCCACAGTCGCATTCGTGCGCCTTTTAACTCCAAGGTGTATTTATCCCAGTCCCCAGCGAAAATTATTCATCATTATTATCATCCAAATCGCATTTTAACGTGACGCGTGCTTCGAAACGCTGTGGCATTAAGCACTGCAATCAATGCAAATCATAACCCTTAACGGTCCTGTCATTAGCATACTGATGGAAGGAGATCCTAAGCTGCATCGACTGATTGGCCGTGCTGCAAAGATCCGACCGTGTCCGTCCAGTGCCCGCTGAGCTGCATTACACGCAAAGTGCTCGCCACAAAGATAACGACGATACCTTGCTGATCTCGTCAAGGAGCATCAACCATCGTCACGCGAACTCTCACGGTCATCCTCGCAGCAGCAGCAGCGGCTTTTGGCAAACCGTCGAACAAAGACGGCCACCGCATCTCGCGCATTCAGGCGCGCTTTTGCGGCCGTCTGAAACCCTCTTCCTTCCGATATTCGTAAAATCATCTAGATTGACAAACTCAATTTCTTTAGAACTGCTTCTTGTTGTCTTCAGTTTGTCCTTCCCCCGCACCTCCGACTGGCACGCTTGGCCACGGACTTCCACAGCTCTTGCCCGACGGCACGGCTGCGTCGTTGTCCCCCGCCGTGGCGACGCGCCCACCCGGCTCCCCTCCGTGCGGCCCCACGCTCCGGCGGGACGAGGAGCGGCCCGTGCCGGCAACGTCGGTGACGGGTTCGGGCCCCGGCACGTGGGCCGGCGTCCCCGGGCGGGCTGTGACAGGCGGGGCCCGGAGGGAGGAGGACGCTCGCGACAAAGCTCTTCCCTGGCTGTGCGGCGCCGTGGACACGGTCAAGGTCGGCGTAGACCGCTACGCGACGGCCTCACGGAGGAGTCGCGGAGCAAAGCGTTGCCCTGCTCGACACCAGCACGCGTGGAGGGGGGGGGGGGGGCAGGGGGGGAGATCGCGGCTGGGCCAGGCCCGTGGAAATTTGCCCGGACTTAGAGAGTTGCTGTAGACTACCCACAAAGTGGCCCTGGCTGTGTGGGTTCTGGGTGTACGAAGCAGGGTTTGCTAAAAAGCTTTTCTGGAGGCCAAGTGTAAAATGATGTACGCGGACACCACGTGCGCCATCCCCTCGGCTCTTTCTGAAGCCTCCTTAGAAGTGAGACCTGGGAGTAACTTACCCCCTGCCCCTCCACCCTTGTGTACATCCCTGGGATAATGAACTCGGGTGGCAAACAGAAGCTGGTCACAAACAGAATTGAACATTTTCACCGAGATTCGTGTCCTCTGCCACGGTACCGCGCCACCAGCGCAATTCCTATCCAGTTAAATACTGATCCAAGCTCGCGGTTCCCCCGGCGCTTGCGATCGCACCTCCGGCTGCCGTTGCCACACTAAGCTCTGCCTCCCTCGCTCCCGCTCCCCGCGGCCGGCCGACAGACGCACGTGGAGGGCCTGCGCGAGGGCCGCCTGCAAGCGAGGCATCTGGAGCGCGCGCGGCTGCTGCTGCTGCTGGGCCCGGCGCAGAGCGGCGTCCGCGACTTCACGGAGGCGGCGTGCGTGAGCGGCGAGCACCGCGACCGGCTGCTGCGGCTGTGGGCGGAGGCGCAGGTCCGCGTCGACGCGATCGCCGGCGCCGTCGAGCAAGCGGTGAGCGCCGAGGGCTCGCCACCGGTTTCGAGGGGACCGTCGGTTGCGGGACGAGCCATTGGGTTGGGGGCCCACCGCGTCGTAGTTCCTGGCCTAAAAAAATGGTCGTTGTCGTGAACCACCCCTCCTCCTCCTCCTTCTCCTCCGCCGCCCGACCGACCGACCCGTTGTGTCGTCCTCGCAGAGTCGTTGCCAAAAGTGGCGATCAAATTCCGACCGGTTCAAAGCTCCCCTCGTGACCAACTCGCGTCGCCAACGCGAGGCGACGCGTCGCTCGAACAGCTTTGAGCTTCATCGGGTAGCGGGCTCGGAAATAGAGCGGATCTGTTGCAGTTGCAGCGAAGACGTTTATACTTTAACTTGATTTTGACGTCCGTTCGTGTTGGCACCCTTTCCTGTTTTTTCCGTAAATGCGGTTGGTTTTCGCGCTGGTTTCTATTCGCTTCGTCGTTGCGCTTCGTGCGACGTCATTTATTTTGCATTTTGGTGACCCCCAGGTTCACGTATCTGTAAAGGAGAGCCGACACAAGATTGCAGGGGTTTCGTATTTTAATCCTTTTCTCCCATCCACACCTGTCCCCAGCCGTCCCAATCTCGTTCCCGCCAAAGGCCTCTTCTTCCCGCCCGTTCTCCCCTTATATCTCCTCGATCACCCCTCCCACTAACCCTCCTATTGGTGGGAATCCTTCCCCTGACACCGCTACATATACAAATGGGGTCTTTCCTGCACTCTGTAGCTTTCGCGACTCGTTAAGCAAAATAACCGTACACTTCACCCCCGTGCTGGTCTCCCCAAGACGTACTCCTTTTGAGGTGGCTCTCCTGGAAAATATGTGAAAGTCTTCCCGGGACATTCCAATTCCAATGGTCGGTCGAATAGCACACCTTAAGCGAACACGTCCCTTAGTTTATTTGAACGTAGGTGGTAAACCTCAGCGAATATGTAACATGAGTTAATTATGCAAGATAAATATTTCACCGGGACATTCTCTTGAGATGGAGCATTTAATCTTAATTTTGAAGCTTTCGTGACTGCAGGAATTATTCTTTGGTTTTTTCGGTAAAGTCACGTATAAAGATATGTTATCTTTATACGTGACTTTACCGAAAAAACAAAGAATGGAGCATTTAATTTGCAAGGGCGTCATGTGGCATAATAATCCACCGCTCACGACGATAGAATGTACATGTCGATCTCCCCTCGTCTGGTCTTGTGAGATCGTCATCCCACGATAATGTCCCAGTGGGTTTATGATCTGGACAGTGGAAACAACTTTATAGCTCACTGGATTCCTGCAGGATAAATAGACATTCTGATTCTGGCAAGCCGAGGTTGCAGTGTATGTAGGTGTAAATAAAGCTGTCTCTGGTGTGGACCAACCAATTTAAAAGAAAATGCATATATTATCAGAGTATGTTTTTTTTTTGCATTCTGACCACGAGTATTGTGGTTAATGCAGACATGATTCCTTGTAAAAGGTTTCAGTTTGATGTTTTAACAACTTAACACCTGTTTTGTTGCCAGATGAAAGGGGAAAATCTATTCTCATATTTTGGTACTGGCAAAGGAGGTCTCATGATGTAGATTTGTTGAACTTCTTTCGCACCGCATGTAACCAACAGTGATAATCGGAGGTGCGGGCGAATGACAACAAACTAAGCACAACAACAAACAGTTCGAAATAAGTTATTTTTTTATCAATCTAAATTATTTAAAAGTGCACGGATCCAGTGGCTTCATCATGTCGGAAGGGAGAGCGTTCCAGACGGGCGCGGGAGCGCATCCGAAAAGCGCGGCGACGCGACTACCCCCGTCTTCGTCCGACGGCCTCGCCAGCGAGACTGACTCTGACCCCGCCGTTGCAGGTTCCTCTGGAGCAGCAGTTCCAGCGCGGCCACGAGATGGAGCTGACTCTCATCGCCGCGTGCCAGACTCTGGATCAGCTCAAGAGACAGGTATGGCCCCAGCCGTGCGTCGCCGTCACCGCCGCAGGAAAAATGTCCACATCGCAAGGAGCGCTTAACACGACGGCGGCTGTGGTGGCGGCGGCGGCGGTGGCGACTCACGCCATTAGGGAGCGCATTGGGACCGCTCGGTCCTAGATTGGCTCATTCCGGGAAAATTATCGAGCCCGTTTATATCAATTTAACGACGGAGATTTTGACGATGCTCGCACACGCTTGCGTTGTATTCTGAGAACGCCGCCGCAGAACGGGACGATTGATCTTTAATGAAAAGCGCACGCGGTAAATTAAAAGAGAGAAAAAATCCACCACGTTTGCTTAAACTAGAAGCTTGTAAATGATTTTGCTGTAATCCGTGCATGGGTTAAACCCGTGCATTCCTTACACCCTTTTCAAGAAAATTTCATTGTCATGTAATATTCCAGCCTGGTTCCAAGTAAGACGATCCTTATTATTAAGACTCTCTCATTTCCGTGAGGGCAGAAGCTTGCAGACTGTTGTAAAAACAAGCGTTTTTAAAATCCTTTATATTAAGTTCACTTGCTTGCTTGCTTGCGTGCTTACGACCATGCAAATCTTTCGGTCGTTTTTTAACCCACTTCCCGTGATCCAATAGAGCTGACATTTTCCACACAGACTCGTTGTGCGTGACAATTAATTTTCGTGAAATTTTTTTCCTAAATTTTACAATTTTTAGGGGAAAAATATGATATTTAATTACCAATTGCTTAACGGTGACAGGCAATCATCTGACCCATAGGTGGCAGCCATCTCAAGCCAGAGGACGAGAGGACTCTAGCCGCCATGCATATAAAGGACTTATAGTGAAAAACTTTGTTTTTACGGGTTACATTTTTATGAATAAAAATAGGGTTTTGTATGAATGAGTCTGTCACTTTGAAGTAAGGCTTGCAAGGCCAGAAATACGAACACAATGGCAGATGCACAAACAAGCACGCGTCATACCCGTCTGCATGCACCACAGCCCCTCTATCAATCCACTGCTGGATGAATGCCTCCCCACGCCGTGTCGATCGTGGGTGGGTGAGGGGGGGGATTGTTTGACCATACGTCACCATGCTGGTCGGTACGGGTCGGTGAAGGAGAGGGCCCATAGACCGGCTCGGCCATTGCTTGCCGCTGATGTTAGCCGTGCTCGTAGCACAGTTCGTGTCGGGGTGGTAGAAGGGCGGTGAGTTCGAAATCCTGGTTGGAGGTTAAACTCGTCCCATCATTCCTCTGGGGTCGACAAAATAGACACCAATTCTAGATTTGAAGCTTTCGTGACTGCAAGGATTCATATTCTTAGGTTTTTTCGGTAAAGTCACGTAGGTAAAAAAAAAAGTATTAATAAAAAGTAAAATAAAAATAAAATAAAATCACGACGTTTCGGAGGCAACACAAGCTTCCGTCTTCAGGTGGAACCGTCACAGCACGATTGCTGTATCAAGTGAGCACCGACTCTTTAGAATGTGCGTCCAAGGTCTGGTTTTGTTAAAGGGGCCGCGTATTGTTTTTGTATGCCCATTGAACTTCTTTCGCACCGTACCTGGCCACCCGTGCTCATCGCAGACGCGGCAGAATGAGGGGGTGGTATTGTGACTGACACGGCTGCGCTCGCGTTCGTCCCTCGTCTGAACCGGCGCGCCGTGCCCCCCCCCCGGTCTCTCCCGCCCGTGTCCGGCCTCCCGCCGCCGTCCCAGCTGCAGGTGGCGGCCGTGGCGGGCGCCATGCGTCTGCTGTCGTCACGGCCGGGGGAGCGCACCCTGGCTCGCCTGCCCGAGGAGGCCGCCACGGGCCACGCAGGCGCCGTGCGCGAGCTGGCCGCCAGCCTCTCCGAGCGGCAGGAGGCCCTGTCCGAGGTGCTCGCTCGCTCACCTGGCTCACCTCGCTCGCTCAGCTCGCCATCGCACAACATCATCGCCGTAGCGCTCACGTGCCCGCATCTTTCGGGTCACGCCCTAGATCCGTATTCATTCGCACGGAGACTTCACGTGTGGGCTCGTATACAAACAAACGAAGACGACGATTCCCCGTGGAGCCTTTAAGAGTGCTGTTAACGAGTAGCACCTTATGATGGCCTGGCGGCACGGTACACGGGCGGGCGGGTGGGTGGCCAGCATCACGCCCGGCCCGGCCGTCTCTTTCTCCCCAGTGCTCGTATTCACACATTGCGCCAGGTACTCGTTCAAAGCTGAGCTTATCTCGGCTTCGACTGAGTACGCGGCCATTGCGTAATGTCTCTCTCCCTCGCATGCGATTCTCACGGTCTCGTCGATAAGGGCCAGCGCGATCACAATCGCCATCCGTCACGGACCTGACCGACCCGGTTTCCCTCGCGGGGGTCACGGAGCACGGTCGCCAGACACTGGTTTCGCGAGGCAAGGCCGGTGGAGACGCTGGGACGAACCGGCGAGCGCCCGTCTGCACATCTCGGTCTCCGTTGCCATCGATCTGATTATGATTCCTGTTTCGGCCACCGTCAATCCACGGCAAATTGGAATTCTTGCTGCCCGTGCCCCCCCCCCCCCTCTACGCCCCCCCAACTTGCTCCGGAGCCCTCGTTGAGCGGTCAGCATTGGCCAATCACGGCCGTGTTGGCGGTTGCGTTTTTTTATTGCCATCGTTTCGGTGAAATATCCCAATTACGATGGGGATCCATCGCTGCCGGCTCGCCTGACAGCTACTCGCTTCGCCGTGGCTTCTGTGGGCCGGGTGGAACTTCAATCGCTCCCCCCTCTTCCTCATTCCAGGCACTAACTCCCCTAATTGGTGTGGAGCTGAGAGGGGACTTCGCCGGGTTTTCAAGCGTAATAGGTTTATGCCCTGCCTGGCAATAAAACAGAGGAGGTTTTAAGATGTTCTAACACCAAATAGAAACCTTTTTGCTAGCAATCAAGTACTGCATTAACCGCGCACACGGTAATTGTGACGAACATGCAAACAAACATGTTCTGATTATACATTAATTTTGCCTTTGAAACCGATTTGCCTTTTTTTCATACGTTTTTACTTGCAAAAAAAGGTCCCATGATAGATTGTCTGTGTAAGAATTAAATGAAGTACTTTCGATTCCTAGAGCATATGTGTGCATGTATGCACTAGTCATACCCTTGATTCGATTTTTTGAATGGTAAAAATAGATCGTTCTTTTAAATTATACATTTTAACACCTCATCAGATCGCGGTGATTAATGTTCTGCAGGATCCACGAGGAATAATGATGGCTTATCCACCAGGTATAATGACATCTCGTCCACCGGTGACATTCAACGATGGCCCGTTCACCGGAAATGTGCGGCTTGCAGGTTTGCCGACTGCTGCGACACGTGGCGGAGACGGAGCCTCTGGGCATCAGGTGCTCTCACCTCGACGACTGCATCCAGTCCACCGTGCAACAGGTACCACACCTATGGTCACTTTATCCTCCGGTCATCGCACATTTTTCTGAGACTTCAAAAAGAGGCTGTGGGTTGGTGAAGAAGTCGCCCTGGGAGAGAACGCCCACCGCGTTCGCCCTGCCGGCTATCGTTCATTTGTTTTCGTCGCTGTTCCCCCATTCCAGATTCTCTCCGCGAGCCAGGTGCTGGAGCAGAACCCTGAGAGCCGAGCGGCGTTCGAGCTCCTCGAGGTTTGCCGCCAGGCGTGGGCCGAGTGCCTGGCGGCACTCACCGTGCTCGTGCGCGACACCGTCGACACCTCCTACGGTGCGTGGGTGCGGCGGGCGGGACGAATGGGTCAGGAGAGGGCAAGTGGGAGATAGGGCAGGTGGTCTGGGGTCAGAGGGGTAGGGGATAGGGCCCAGGTTCTCGCTCCCAACCTCCGGCACTAGCCGGACAGCCGGAGCAGAACACATGGAACGAGATAACGGCGCTGTTTTCGGTTGCACATCGTGACCCACGGCTTGACCTCTGGCGTCGCTCTGCGGCTCCGCTGTGAACTTGGAAGCTGTGGGCATGCGTGGAGTTCGCGCGCGCACACACGTGGCCGGGCTTGGTGGCACACGTAGAGATGTGTACGGGGGATTGTTGGACCGTGTGTGTGTGTGTTTGTCTCCATGCATCCGAGTATTCTCATGCTCGCATTTATTTTGATGTTGACCGAAGTGCAGTTCTTCAAAGACTGCTGATGGTTTTTGCGTAATGCACACAAGTGCTTTTTGTAGACGAGTTTGTATATCTAATGACAGGATTATCATATCTCCTAGGCCTTGATGTCTCTGCAAAAACTACATCTAATTTTGGATGTCAGCATGCCTCACAGAAATAAGACCCTGGGTTCGATTCTTGACTAGGGTATTTTTCTGCGCGGAGATTGTATCTTCTCCCCCTGTTCTGCATGCATTGCCTCTGGGTTATGCGGTTTTCCTCCCATAGCTGAAAGAAACACAGTGTCACTGGCATCGGCAAATGCCAATTATATAAAAAAAAATACTCGCAAATTACTCAATTTCGATTCCACACAGCAACATCGCCGCCGACTCCAAACAACTTGACGGTGCCCTCCTGAAAACTAGTCTGGAGACTCAGTGCGGCTTGTCCAAAGAATAATTATTATTGTAATAGTATTATTATTGTTATGCAACGCTAACATAGCTGGCACGCTTGTCAAGACGCGTCAGCAATGCGCCCATGTGGTAGTGCCACCCTTGCCGTGCTGTTGTCACAAATCAACGTTTGGCACGAGGTTCGTGTCGTTGGCGAGACATCCTCCCCTGCCCCCCCGTATCCCTCCCCCCCACCCCCCATCCCCCCTCCGTGACTTTCTCAACCGAGAGCTGCTGGATGCTCCGCATGTCGTACCGCCGTGCGAAGCGTGGACGAGCGGCCTCGCCGCTCTCCGCGCCCGTGTTGTTCTGCAAGGACACGACCCCTTTCTCCCCCCCCCCTCCATATTGGCAGAGCCCCCCCCCCCACCCCCCCAACACAACGCGCGTAATGTGGCAATAGGTAAGAGACCACGCCGCTCCCCTCTTCTGCCGCGTGGTCGCGTTTCAGCCGGGTGGCTAGCGGGCGGGGGCGGGGGCGTGGGGGGTGGAGGTCGCGGCATTGAAAACAGAAGCGGTGGCCTCGCAGAGATTTTAAAAGCATTTTCGACGGTGAGAGCGAGGAAATTTATACATTTTTTTTAACTCCTTGTTGGGTGTTTTTTTCTTTCTCTGTTATGTTTGTTTTCCTTCCTCTAGAGAAAGGCTCGAGCCAATCTCTGCACAGCCACGGGGTAAGACGAGGACCGCTGCTGCCGTGCGCGGTGCACGAGTGCTTTTGTGGACCTCGTAATGAGAGTTCTGTAATGCGCCGCGCTCGTGTTTGATGACAACACAGTGGCTCCATCCCCCGTCGGGTTGCCTTGAACACGGGGTCGATCCACTTGCACGCATTGGGAGTCCATTCTTCGTCGTCAAACTTGTTGCCTTCAAATTGTCGTTGCACGCACGCACTTCTTTACTCACACATCGCAGCTGGTCGTGCACATTGTTTGAAAAGCTTTCTTTCGTTGGCAACCTTGGATGCTATTTTTCACGATCGTGTTCGGCTTTTTCCAACGGCGCTCCAACCTGCTCCCATTCATCTGTTTATTTCACGTAATAGTTTTCTATTGTAGTGGAGCCATTGGCATCGTTTACACGTGGTCCTCATTTCACTTGTCGGTACCAGCTGAGGTAGCAAGGCCACTGAGGCGGGTTCCAATTTTTCCTGTGTGGCCAACAAGAGGCACCTTTTGAAATGGGCGAGTTACGAAATTTTTCGCTCTCGTTGGCCGTATAAATACACCGGTACCGCACTGGCAAGGATTTGCTCCCTTAATTGGTACCGATTTCTGCTGTGGCCCATGGCCTAATGGGACTGAGAAGGCGTTTGGAATCCCCGTAGAGCCGGTGCACCACCCCGTGCTGTTTGAAGGGCCCGCGTGGTGCGTTGCCATTGGCATCGCAGAACTACTTGTGAGATTGTAGTAGTAATAGGTTTTTACCCTTTCAACTGGTACACAACTGACACCTTTATACAAGGGATCATGTTTGCAATAACCACAACACAAGCAGTCAAAATGCAAACAAAAAGAAACAACTCTGATAATGATATGCACGGTCCTTGAAGTTGATTGGTCCACAACCGAGACAGCTGTGTGGACCAATCAACTTCAAGGACAGTGCATATCATTATCAGAGTTGTTTCTTTTTGTTTGCATTTTGACTGCTTGTGTTGTGGTTATTGCAAACATGATCCCTTGTATAAGGGTGTCAGTTTTGTACCAGTTGAAAGGGTAAAAACCTATTACTATATTTTGCCACTGGTAAAGGAGGTCTCGTAGTACTTCTGAGATTGCTTCAGGTGACCTCCGACCTCTGGCCTCTGCACATTCCCTGCTTATACAGGTGTCTGTCGCACGTCAGTTAACCAACATTCTACACTCTCCGAGCTCCCGAATGTATCAAACTAAGTGGAACAAACCGCATTCGATGTCACCGGCTTTTCTTGGTACACTCGTTGGTGACGTGGCTGAGAGCCATCAACTCGTAACACGAGAAGGTGCACGGTTCAACCGCCACCATCGGCCTGAACCCAGCAACCCAGCAGTGCCAGCTCAGCCCTCTCACTCCCGAGCCACTCAAGCGGCCTAAATTTGTCTTAGAAATGGAATCCGTTACGTGATTATTTTTTGTTACGGTGGCGAACCATCGCAGCAGTTTCCCTACAGAGTGCGTCCATCTTGTTGGTTTTGCACACGGGCGGCGTGTCACGTGGGGTCGGCACGATTAGTGACACCGCGTGTGGAGTGACACCGCGTGTGGAGTAACACCGCACGCGGAGTGACACCACGTTACTCTGCACGGCCACGAGTTCCGCATCTGCGCTGGATTCGGGCCTCCTGCCCCCACAATGTTTTCCACGATTATTCAAATCATCGGCGGCGGAGGCGTAACCCGGGGCAGCCTCGTGGATACGCTGCTGGCAATGAGATGTGTTGCTTGTGCGTCCAAATTCTTAAACGGGGGTCACTCGCGAGATAAGCCACGCACACGTTATCTATGAATGTTATGTTTAGAGATAGGGTTAACCCTGCGTTTAACCCATACCTAGGATTAACCCAAGCTCCGTCTCTATGGTTAACCCCAACCATAATCTTTTGGTTTCTCCGAATGTCAACCGTAATCTTTGGAGTTAATTAAACACCTCGTCATAGGGCTCACCATTTAAAAATAACTAACCCTTAACATACTCCTCAGGTGGACTATATTCCTAAATGGATGAGTTAGCCTGAACCCCAAACTCTAGGAGCTTTTCATACTCCTAACCCGAGCGTTAATCCTAAGTTCTTAAATATCATCGCTAACGCTGGGATCACAAAAAAGTGCCCTGTCACTTGTATTACAAACAACGAGTGATAGCGTTGAGCTGAAACGAGCCATTGCGTTTCCCATTCGTAGATGGATGTGCAGTGACTCAGCTCGAGAGGGGGTGGGGGGGGGGGGTCAGATTCACCTTTCGGATGCCAAATCGCCAGGTTTCGTCCCAGAGAATCGGGTTTGCGTTCGTCTTACGAGTTAATTAATTCGTCCTGAACGCTCTGGCAAATTAAACCAATTCCAGTGACGTCCAACGAGGCTCCGCTGCGAGTGGGTCTGCACGTGTTTGCCTGCCCTGCACGAACCGTCGCTTCACAAATGCATGAGATTCGTGACACGATATCGTTCCGATGAATTCGAGTAAACATGTTTTGTACTGCTTTGTCGGTGGCGTCGTAGCAGCGGCGGAAATGATTGTAAAGCCTCTTTATCAAATACAGCGGAAACCTGCGACCCATTTGACATTTTGTCGTGAAAAACACGCGAAAAATTTGCTTTTTGCCAATGTGACTATCAGCAGCTTCCAATTTGGCTACTTGGTTAGCGGGAAGCTAGAATACAAATGCAGTTCTACCGCGGCCTCCTGCTACTGTATTAAAGCTGAGAATTCACTGAGGCTCGTTTACAAGACATATAAGTGCACGGTTCTGTTCTTGGTTCTTTCGGTAAAGTCCCGTAGATAGAAAAAAAATTTTTACATTTAAAATAAAAGCAAAAAACCCCCCCGACGTTTCGATCGCAACAGTCACGAAAGTTTCAAGTCAAAATTTGCACGGTTCAAGTTTATCCTTTGGTGCACGAAGAGCATCTCTCGCCCAGGAGTTTAGAATTGGGTGGTGGCTGGAGGTGCAGCTGCTGCTGCTGCTGGTGACAGATGACGGCTACGGCGCTGGCTTGTTGGGCTGACGCGTGCGCAGGACGAGGCGGAGGTGGCTCGCCTGGCCGCCGGCGTGCGGGAGCGCACGAGCGAGCTGGAGGCCGAGGTGGAGCGCTGGCCACGCGGCGGCGGCGGCGGGGGTGGCCAGGAGGAGAAGGAGGACGCGGCCGTGCTCCTCTGTGTGCAGGACGTGTGCAACGCGGCCTACGCCACGTGCCTCCTCGCCAAGTGAGCCACGGCAGTGGCCGCGGCAAAAGTTTCGTGTTATTGTGGTCACTGTTTTGTTTATATCATTATTGTTGTTGTCGTCGATCTTAAGACTTGTTTTGCCCCAGGCAAGGTTCTCGCCGAGTCTCAAGACCCTTATTCAGGAAGGCCCTGCCAAGTTTTTTGGGTGGCAATGTCTATGCACTTTCCAATCGAGCGATTTGCCGAGTAAATGAGCAAAATTATGCCAAATCTGGAGCCTGACGCCGACACGCAATGGCCCTTCTCTGCTTTTGAGCGATGCCACGGGATCTTTAACGGTCAACACACGCCGCAGTGTTAACCATGGCGGCCTGCCGGATTTCAACCGCGAACCCCTGCAGCAACAAGCGGTGAACGCGCTACCACTGAGTAATAACACCAAGGATAATAATAATAATGTTATCCAGGCAAACCTCACGATTTTTTTTCTTTTTGTAACTGTGTGTTTTGTGTGTGTTATGCGGCCGTCTGGAACGCTCTTCCTTCCGATGTTACGAAGCCACTGGAGCTATGCGCTTTTAAATCTGGATTAGAAACTAATTAAATTAGAACTGCTTTATGTGTGCTACGTTTGTTGTGCTTCCCCCGCACCTCCGATTTGCACGGTCGGCTACGTACGGTGCATGCATGCATTTATATACATCCACTTCACTTTATCGATCCCCATTTAGGAACAATGGGCTGAGTCGACCCACGGCTGGAATTTTAATTCTAAACCTCGCGCCTGTGCTTTGAGTCCTCAAACCACCTGTAACCGCCCGACAAAGTTCAAATGAAACGACAGGCAAGTGGTTCTATCACGCAGGCGTGATGTGATTGCCAGGCCCTCCCCGCACTTTCAGGGCAAGCTGTTGTTGATCGTACACCAGAAACAAATGCACAGCGGGTGCTCCCAGGTGGCGATTGATCATCTTGTTCGTGGCGTACACGTTAACCGCGTGGACCTCACGTGACGGCTCAGTTTGTCCCCGAGTTGCCCACCTGCTTGGGATGACCCCCGTGCCGTGTGCCCACGTAACGCGCGGTTGCATAACCGTCCGGGTAATTGCGCCGTGAAATCGCTCCATTTATGGAACACAAGAGACGGGGCAACCGCTGAGCCACGGGCACCTCTGCACTGACCTGCATGGCAAAGACTCGATAGTTGATTAAAAAAAAAAACTGAAAATAGGATGGGGGGGGGGGGAGAGAAGTACAGTTAGAACAGGGAAGGTACCACGTAGTACAGCGCGGTGTTTGTGAATGTTCGATCAAAATCTATAACAATTGACAAGAAAAGAAAAGTCGCGAGAACAAAATAGTGCGGGCCGGAAAAGCTAAGGTTCAGACAATAAGCGCACAGAAACGTGCACACAAACCACACACAGCCTCTGTGCGTTATGTCTTAAAAATCATCAGCAGCAGCAGCTTGTATGAAGAAATACATTGTGGTCCTCTCAGTCATCATCACCGGTTTCATCCGCATTCGGAGTCATCGTCTTTCTCAGTCAGCGTTGGTGACTAAAACGGTGCTGGTGAGTCCTCATAGGGGCTGTGTAACTGCCGCTTCGAGTCTTGTCACATTTTGCCGATGGTTTTTTACGCATGAAGCACACAGGCCGAGTGCCTTTCTGTGCACGCTTTTGTAGATTTGACGACAGGGTTACCATATCTCCGAGGGCTTGACGTCTCTCTACTAAAGCTGTGGGCGGTACGGTGGCGCAGTGCTAACACGCCGCGTGCTTCTCGGCTACAAGGGCCTGGGTTTGATTTCCGACTCGGATGCCTTTGTGTGTGTGGAATTTGTATGTTCTCCGCTTGTTCTGCACGGGTTTCCTCCCGGTTCTCTGGTTTCCTCGCGTAGCTTAAAATCAATCCGATGTAACTGTCCTTTGTTAAATACTCCCAAATGCTGAATGGTTACCTGCACATTTTTCAATTGGGATTACACACAGAGAAACCTCGCCCCCCCCCTCCCCCCACCACCTGCTTTGACAATGTTGGCTTCACCCATCTGAAAAATAATCTCGAGACTCAGCGAGGCTTTCCTGGGCAAACAAGCAGAATAATAATAACAAGACGACTAAGAATTCCCGGTATAATGTTCTCAACTGGGGTCTGGTCCGTGACTTACAAAGCGACGAATTACTTTGACGGCTGTCTGTGGTGTCTCTCACGCGTCAAATGCCTGCCCCTATCTGTGTATCGCCTACAGAGGAGGTGGAGGAGGAGGAGGACTGCACAAATGCACGCCCGACCTTCTCAAGAAGGCCGCGGTAAGGTGTGAACACGGAACCATCGTCGCACACCGTCAATATTCAACGGGGGCGGCGATGGCGCAACGCCGGCAATGAATTGCGCGTCAACAGCACGCACGCACGCGTCATTAGGAGAACAAAAGATGATGCATGCAAATGTTCGGGGAGAGAGAGAGAGAGAACACCGAGCAGGCCTGAATATGCATGTTTTCGAGGTGCCCTGCGTTGATATTCGCGCGCGCGTTCGACTTAATTTTTCCGCTTTGTTTCTGATAAACTAAAACTTAAGGTTTTTTTTTTTTACCACCAACAGGTCAGGCACCACTGAGCTCTGCAGCTTTTTTTTCAGAAGCGACCTGGCAACAAATGATAGGTCAACGAATTGGCGCATAACGTGGAAATGTATAGCAGCCAAATACTCTTAAGCGCATGTTAATAGATGTGGAGGAAAGAAAACCGGAGGACCTGGAAAAAAATCCACGCAACCACGGGGAGAACATGCAAACTCCAAATATACAGCAGGCGTCAGGGTTAGGATTGAACCCACGACCTCCTGCATACCAGGCAAGGGCGTTAACATCTCCTAGCCACCGTGATGATGATGAGAGAGAGAGAGACACACAAACTCCAAATATACAGCAGGCGTCAGGGTCGGGATCCAACCCACGACCTCCTGCATACCAGGCGAGGTCGCTAACATCTCTCCACCGCGTCTATGCTGTGAATATTAGCCGGTGTATCACCGTGACCGCTGCTACTACAACCGCGCTTGTCCATTCACATCGCGAAGCCACTCAACGTTGCCCAGAGCGATGAGCCCATTGTTCTCCAGCGGTTCACTTTGAGCACTGCCACAGTGGCTATTTCAAACAATGAACTCGTTTTTAATCCAGGATAATGTGTCGCTGTCATTGCGCATTCGCGCTCGCATTATTATAGCGGCAATGCTATCCCAAAGAAAGCCGCGATGTTGCACAGACACAGTCTGCAGTAGTTTCAGTCGGGGGTGGGGGGGGGGTTGCACGTCTTGCTTCGTGTAATCCCAATCGAGTAATTTTTCAAATTTTGAAGAACAAAAAATTGGACTATGACGTCGGCACACAATGGCCTAGCATTTCCGAATAGACGTCACGGGGCTCCTCTTTAACGTTTGTTGAACTTCTTTCGCACCGTACGTAGCCAACCGTGCTAATTGGAGGTGCGGGGGGAAGGACAACAGACTACCACACAAATCTAAAATGAATTTTATATCTAGATTATTTAAAAGTGCATAACACCAGTGGCTTCCAATATCGGAAGGAAGAGCGTTCCAGACGGCCGCAAAAGCGCGCGATGCGGTGACCGCCGCCTTTGTTCGATGGCCAGCCAGAATCTGCTGTATGCCCCTCGACGGGACCAGCAAGGTATTGTGATTAATTTGTTATAAGCAGGGCGGTACTGCCAAATTCGAACATGCGAGCCTCCGCAACAACGCCACTGAACGTGCTCCAAGCCCGCTCAACCCGTTTCCCTCCGCGGGTCTCTCTGCCTTCCTGGTCGCGACGGGGGCCCCTCAATTTGGGGTGTTCAGTCTCTGCCTTGAAAAGGAAGCCGTGGGATGCTGCTCGTGGCTGGGCACCCGCGCGTTCCGCCTCGAGCGTGTGTAGTGTAGTGGGGAGCGGTGGTGCAGCGGTTAGCGCGCTGCGTTACAAACCTCGGCCGCCGGAGTTCGATTCCCGCTCACGGTCCACATCAGTGACGATTATATTGAATCGGTTCTGGGCCTCCCCTAGGTGGACTCGGCCTCAAGTGAGTACCTGGTACGGTGTGTGAACATCGCCACTGGGGAGACAAAGGCGTTCGGGCATGGTCTTGGCCAGCCCACCCTCTCGTGTGCCGTGCCGGCCTTCATAGGTGCTGCTCGCTTACAGCACCTGTCCCAGTCGCCTGATTAAGGCTCCATGCGGGATCTTTGGCTCCGAAGCACGTTGCGTGCATTAGCCTGAGAGAGAGAGAGCACTGTGTGTGGATATGTCAGCGGTTATTGTTCCCTGAAGGTCTACGTTGAGGTGTCAAAAACAACAACAGACACCCGTGGGCTGATCTGGTGGAAACGCATAATTGGGGAGTCGTGCAGCGCATCGCGCACGGGCTACTGGTCAAAGGCGCAGCCCTGCAATTGCTGGCTCACGTCACTGCTGGCGGAAAGGGGACCTCCGCTTCGAAGGAGCTCTAGAGAGAGGGGTCTGTGTTCTACCAGCTGTGCGTGTTTGGTAGAGGTGGGCATACCCACACGTTATCACATCATCGCACGCAAACCTGCGCATCGACTATGGCGGTGAAGCCATTTATACCGGAGGCGATTTGAGAAACTTGCCGTTGTGTCGACTGCCACGCTTGAAGGTGGAGTCGAACTGTGGACGACCAACCCCTTAGGTTCGCGAAATGGGTTTTGGCATCGCAGGACCGGGATGGGTCACGAAGGCGTGCGAAGACCTTCATCCAGCATTGCGAAGACTTTATAAATCTATTTTAAAGAAGAACAACTGTTGTGATTTTAATTTTAATTTCGATTTAAAGCTTTCGTGACTGCAGGGATTCATCTTTTTGGTTCTTTCGGTAAAGTCACGTAGAAGGTAAATAATAAAATAATAAAAATTTTACATCATAAAATTTCGATTTAAAGCTTTCGTGACTGCAGGGATTCATCTTGGTTCTTTCGGTAAAGTCACGTAGAAGGGAAATAATACAATTGAAAAAATTTTACATCATAAAATTTAGATTTAAAGCTTTCGTGACTGCAGGGATTCATCTTCTTGGTTCTTTCGGTAAAGTCACGTAGAAGGGAAATAATTCATTCAGACGCTGTCTTTCCGACAGCCCTGTTCTTCACCTGAGGACGGCTGCTTGCGTTGTGGCCGAAACGTCGTGAGAATTGTATTTTATTATGTTGTATTTATATTATTTTATTATTTCCCTTCTACGTGACTTTACCGAAAGAACCAAGAAGATGTTGTGATTTTTTTTTACGTATATACAAGTTCCCATAAAACATGCATCTTGTTTTACATTGTTCAGAAGCAGCTGATGTAATAATGAAGCATACATTTCCTTGCTCATGCCTCCACAGGTACTTGCAGATGAGTGCGTGAAGTTGTCGTCCTTGTTGGAAAACATTATGAGTAAGGTATGGAATCGTGGGCTGTGCTGTTTTGCAAGACGTGGTTTGGCTTGCTCCGCACAGATTCGTGAAGCATTTAAAAGCTCATATTCGCACGGTTGGCTAATGTGCGGTGCGAAAGAAGTTCAACATACATACTCCACAGGTCCGAGACAATTCACCACCGGAGCGTGCAATGCATCCAGATTCAAATCAGCTGATCCATGCTCTACCACTTACCACAATAAAACTCTCGCCTCATCATTATTATTACACGTGTCTGCCCAGGACAGGCTTTTGCTGCTCAACTCCTTTCAACAGGGTCCTGCTAAGTTCCCACAGTTAAGTAATTTTACAAGTCGCTTTTGGACCACGACGCTGGCAAATTTGGACCACGAATAAAGCTTTCTCTTAAGAGTATTAACCAGCGCGGCCTGCCGGAATGCGACCGCGAGCCTCTGCAGCAACCGCCTACCACGCTACCGCTGGGCCATGCACCGCCTCCATTAAATCAGCACGTCCTGGTAACAGCAGAGGTGGGACAAAGTCATTGTTATGCAAGTCCAAGTCGAGTCTGAAGTCATCAAATTCATGACTCGAGTCTGACTCGAGTCCAAGTCACATGACTCGAGTCCACACCTCAGAGGTGGGACAAAGTCATTGTTATGCAAGTCCAAGTCGAGTCTGAAGTCATCAAATTCATGACTCGAGTCTGACTCGAGTCCAAGTCACATGACTCGAGTCCACACCTCAGAGGTGGGACAAAGTCATTGTTATGCAAGTCCAAGTCGAGTCTGAAGTCATCAAATTCATGACTCGAGTCTGACTCGAGTCCAAGTCACATGACTCGAGTCCACACCTCAGAGGTGGGACAAAGTCATTGTTATGCAAGTCCAAGTCGAGTCTGAAGTCATCAAATTCATGACTCGAGTCTGACTCGAGTCCAAGTCACATGACTCGAGTCCACACCTCAGAGGTGGGACAAAGTCATTGTTATGCAAGTCCAAGTCGAGTCTGAAGTCATCAAATTCATGACTCGAGTCTGACTCGAGTCCAAGTCACATGACTCGAGTCCACACCTCAGAGGTGGGACAAAGTCATTGTTATGCAAGTCCAAGTCGAGTCTGAAGTCATCAAATTCATGACTCGAGTCTGACTCGAGTCCAAGTCACATGACTCGAGTCCACACCTCAGAGGTGGGACAAAGTCATTGTTATGCAAGTCCAAGTCGAGTCTGAAGTCATCAAATTCATGACTCGAGTCTGACTCGAGTCCAAGTCACATGACTCGAGTCCACACCTCAGAGGTGGGACAAAGTCATTGTTATGCAAGTCCAAGTCGAGTCTGAAGTCATCAAATTCATGACTCGAGTCTGACTCGAGTCCAAGTCACATGACTCGAGTCCACACCTCTGGGTAACAGTGCCGGATTATCCACGTAGCAAAAGTAGCTACATGTGTAGTAGCTACATGTGTAGTAGCTACATGTGTAGTAGCTACATGTGTAGTAGCTACGGGCCCCGCACTTTCAAGGGCCCTTGCGCTAAATGCTTTCAAGCTATCATTTCCGTTTCAGTGATTCTGCACTAAAGTACTATACCGCCTTCAACGTTTATGAACGACTGGGTGTTTAAGGTATTATCTGGCTGTATAGCAAATGAAAAAATACAATTATTTTACTTCGCACGCAAAAAAATTGTGTTTTAATATCATTTTTTTTATTTAGAGCCCCTTTATAACATATGCTACAGGCCCCGCACTAGCTTAGTCCGGCACTGCCTGGTAATGCCCCACGTGGAGAGAGAGAAAAAAATATCCACGACTGAAAACGTCCATTCGTGGTCTAGACTGCGTCTGAATGTGCGTCTTGGGTTGTAAAGATTACTCACAACCGCGTCTTGGTGAGTGCTTGCTTGTTACTTCACCGACAACTTACCGTGATGGATGGAAATCCTGACATCTTAACTATTTAACACAACTGGAAAACGGAGGAGTGCGTGTGATATTCCAGGCCTCTCTGTTCTACGTTTTCTGGTTAACAAACAAAAAAAGCGTGGGCAGGTGGAGAACCAACAAATGTAATACACTCACAATGTGTATAGGAACACTGCAGTGTGGCACTTATCACAGTTCTGTAAAGCCTGTGAAACAGCACTCGAGCGAGAGATAAGGTCGATATCTCAAGCGTGTTTGATCAACCTGCTCCTCAGCCTCAACAACATTCGCTACGTGATGTAATATTCTCAACCGCTGTTGCTGAACCACTCGGATACAACGTAAGATGCGTTTCGGCATTTTCACATCAAGGAAAAAACCAAAGAGTAAATCCCTGCAGTCACGAAAGCTTCGAATATAGTTTGAAGTTTTCAACTCACGGGATGTTTCGTGAACGATTTGGGCAAACCCGCGAACGAAGGCGCTGCGCATCTGAAATATTGACGAATGACCCATCGATCACCGTCGCCGCGTGAGTGTTGGGGGGGCGTGCTGTTGCACGAAATCCGCAGCAGATGTTCCCACTTGGCCTTCCGGCGTGACCGCGAGCTTCTCTCACAGCCCAGTCGCTGACGAAGCTGCTTGCCGGGGCCGCGCGGAGCGAAACGTCGGGACAATCGCGGCGAGCGTGTGTACACGGCAAATATCCCCCGTATAGCCTCAGCAGACTGTTGGGGCAAGTGCTGTTAGCGAGCACCTGATGAAGGCTAGAACGGCACAACGAGGGTGTGGGTAGGTGGCCAGCACCACGCCTGGCCGCCTCTGTCTCCCCAGCGGCACTACGCACCGCACCAGGTACTCATTTGAGGCTGAGTCGACCTAGGGGAGGCCCATGACCGGTTCAGATAATCGTCGCTGCGTGTTGGCCGTGAGCGAGAATCGAACTCGGGTAGCCAGGGTCGTAGCGCAGCGTAGCGCTAACTGCTACACTACCGCTCCCCATTCGCACCACACACACTCCACACACACACACCACACACCCCACACACACACCACAGCACACACACACCACACGCACACCACACGCACACCACACACGCACCACACACGCACCACACAGACAAGCACCGGGAGGGACAGCGATAACTCAACGAAGTCAGCGCGTCGTGGAACCCCACGCTGACCTCTCTCTCCCCACCCACTCCACCCCTGCCCACAAATCGGAATCTGTGCGGATCGGCCACCGGGGTGCCGACGGGGCCCGGGACGGTCTCAGCTGGCGCGCGGCGAGGGGCAGCCGAGGCTGGGCGTGGAGCAGGCGAGGCTGTGCGTGACGGCCGTGCGAGACGCCAGCGCTGTCCCCGTTCAAGAGGCAACTGCAAAGGTTACTCTGGTGGTGGTGGTAGGCTGGTGGGGAGTGGTGGTGGGGGATTGTGGAGGGGTGCTGGAGAGTGGAGGGGTGCTGGAGAGAGGAGGCGAGCCTGTGCGCTCCGTCCAGGTTCACGTGAGGACACCGATTTGTGAAGGGTGCTGTGGAAGCCAGCAACCCGGCTGTGTGGGGGTTTGTGTTTATGCTCTACGGGTGCAATAGAATGGGGGACACATTTTGACGGTTGATATTATCGTCGTCGTGATGGTGGATGGTGGTTAGCGCGTATTGATTCTAAATGTGGAGGGGAAAACCAGAGGATCCGGAGAAAAATCCACACGGCCACGGGGTCTCCAAATTTCGAGGCATGCAGGTCAGGATCGAACCCACGCGCTCCTGTATACCATGCGAGATAGTTAACATCTCACCACCGTGGCGCCCTATATAAACACTGGACAAGCGTAAGCTATTTGATCAAAACATATTTTGATCATATGTAAAGTCAACATAACATGAAAATACCATATTTTTTTACAAATACGTAAACATACAGTAGTTTATGTATGTGCAACATCAGTTGCCGATGAACGGACTTGCCGCATTTGCGCTACTTGCGCGGCGTTTTCGCGGCCGCCCTTTCTCGTTGGACCGCGCGCCGATTTCGTCGTGGCGTCCGACGTTTCGGGACAGAAAGCTCCGTTCGTGACGGGAGCGAATCGTTGGGCGCGCGCGCGCGGTACAAACCCCCCGCCCGCCCCGGGAAACAACTTCCCGTGAGGTGCCTCCGTGCCTCGTTTCAGGTAGCGGCCGTGATGCAGGCAGCGGAGGACTTGCTGGCAACGCTCCTGCCCACCGTGCAGATCGCTCGGATGTTGAAAGAGAAGGTAAACAACAACAACAGCAGCAGCAGCAGATAAACAACACTCCAAATGCAGCCTCCCTCGCTACAGAGCGGCACGTGGTTCCTACCGGTCGCGCGCATCGCTCGACACGAGGTTCCGTCGCCAATTTTGATCATTTCCCGAGCAGCTGGTGTGCATGATTGCAACGTGTTTGATGACACTGTTCATGATTTAAAACGAATACCTTTAATCCGAACGGATGATGTTCAGTTTTCAAAAAAAGCAGTGCCAAACTACTCTCACCCAACTCTTTGTGTCCGTTCAACAGATGTTTCAAATTGTCGCAAAATGTTACGATAGCGATGATGCAGAATGTTAAGTTGCGAAATTACATATTTACGGGGGGAAAAAAGCCAACGAAGCGTATTTATTTCAACGCCACCAAGGCTTTTAACGACACGTATTACACCCTCAGCAGTACAAGCATGATCGTCAATTACCCGTTTGAAACAATCGTATTATATAAACACAAAACAAACGTCATGGATGTAATTACAGATGGGAGCGTAGCAGCGTTCAGATTCACCTGGGCCCCATGGAGACAGCGGAGGCAACCTCCCATTGCTGCCCGAGAGACGTCAGCAAACACACGGGCGCAAGTGTTCATCATCCAGACCTCTCGCTCGAAGCACCATCATCATCATCACCGTATAATTGCAATTTCACTGGCAGCGTGACGAATGTGTGCGGCCGCGGTGCGTGCTTTTCCTAAGCTTTGCATTTGTGAACAAGGCTTTAATGATTTAAAGCTTTCGTGACTGCAGGGATTAATCTTCTTGGTTCTTTCGGTCGCTCCAAGCCTGGGGCGTGTCATTCAGACTGTCTTCTCGACAGACCTGTTCTCCACCTAAGGACGGCTGCTTGCGTTGTGGCCGAAACGTCGTGAGAATTATTTTGTTTTATTTTTATTATTTCCATTCTACGTGACTTTACCGAAAGAACCAAAAAGAAGGCTTTAATGGTTCAGTGCAGATTTCCACAATCCCGCTTGTGACTATCCCCCCCCCGTGTTTACCATGATACTGGGTTCCTCCCCCCCCCCCTCCTCTACCACATGGATCTCATTTTACGCGTCGTCTCCGTTGTGTTCCGACCATTTTCTGTTGATGTGCTTCACTCTCCAGTTTATTGAGATCCAATTTGCATGAAGAATGCCATATGAGATAAAGCTATTATTATAATTCGTAATAAAGGCATGGGGGGTCCTAAAGTGCCTATGAAAAATGATCGGCAGTCCATGTATTATCCACAAACGAAACCGCCAGAAATAAATTGGAAAAAATGTTTTTTATTGTAATTCAATTTAATCTCAGCTGTACAGTAGTCAAAAATACCCGAATGCAGATTTGAGCTAATACAAAAGGTCACAGCTATTAATAGATATTTAATCGCATTGGTTTTTTTTATTCATCAACATTTAAGCAGCTGCTTCCAACATTAAAGCCACAAAAACACCTATTACGCTTACAACAAACCCACAAGTAAACTTATATGCCTCTGATATAATCTCTGGAATATAAGTTCAGCTTTCCCAAGATCACGATACTTATCTGTTTACAAAATAATTGCACTTTCTTCCTCTAACCCCGCACGACCAAAAAAAATAAGCTTTGGCATTGATTGGCAAGCTGTAATTAAAATTCCACAGGGCCTGCAAATTTTACTGCATCCCATTTGCGCAATTTATTCAGTGCCATTGATCACGAAGCCCGCCACTCAGACCGACTTAGAATTTCTAACACTTAATCAAGCACCACACACACTTAACACTGGCTTTAGTAAAAAAAAACACTTAAAAATATCTACTCTTTATAACGCGTCTAAAACAGATTTTCTCGTTTTCAAAATAGTGTGATTAGGTCACGCTGAAACGCGACGTACATAAATGTATCTCTGGGGTGGTCGAGGGAAAAGTTCAAACCAAACCACTTTGCTTAACATTGGCAGGGATGCATTTGGCAGATACATTCATTATTTATCCACGCGACATCAATCAAATATACAGATGAATAGCAGCAACTTAAGAATGCAATAAATATCAATATTAAAGAAATAATTGCTAAACGACCACAGCTTCTCTAAGCGAGTTTTAAAAATCTATTTGTACACAGGCCTTACAATCATTGCCATTAGTCTTTCCATCATTCATCGGCCTACTATAGCAAGCGACTCAATAAGTTAAAGATTTACTACATGCCTTTGTCATTCATGGCGTTTGCATGTTGTACCTCACAATGACATCGACTTCACAGCGATAACACCAGGCGATCAGATAACAAATAATGGCTCTACGCTCACCGCTGGGTTCAATCACTGTTAGGATGTAACCCGCACCCCCCACAGGGTGCAAGTAACCCAATGATTAGGACACACCTCTCAAGCCGCAGTCTCAGTCACCAATAACATCGCACGGGAGGCATCAACAGGATTACTGGACAGTTGCACTCGCTCGCGTACGTTGCAACGCCTTACATCCCCCGACGATATTTACACCATCGAGGCTCCAAAAACAACCGCAATTACACAAACTCAACCTCACCACCCCCCCTCCCCCCTCTCCCCGTTTGTCTCGACCCGACTTGCAGGACACGTGGTAAACAATTTCAATCAAGCCGTTCTCATTCATTCAAGTAAATTGCACCTTCAATCGTATTTTTCGACATCTGCGACTGCTGCGTAAATTATGCTGGATTCGGGCTCATTATACGAATTCACCTGACAGCGAACACGAGGTGAATCGTAATATAAAAAAGCCCCTCCACCCCCCCAAAAAATAAAAAATTGCAGGTACACGATAATTACACTCGTATCATAAAAGGGTTGAAAACCGGTCTTGGAGGAGCGTCCATCGAGGTTAATATTTGACACCCCTCTTCACAGTAACCGTGCACTGCTACAATCGATACCCAACAATTGTGGTTTGGGAGGAACGGAATTTTGCCCCTTTGCTTTGAACATCGGCGATTCCCCACCAAGCTACAGCCATGCATGTAAATGGCAACACATGTTACAGCAAGTGAATGGCACATGTGTGCGTGTGTGGTTGTGCGCGCGCGTGTCGTTAGTAGCCATGAGTTACGGAAACAATGAAGGCACGATCGTGAATTACACAGCGAGCGACTTGTTTAGCAAATGTGTTTCTCGTTAACCGTGTTCGGCAACATTTAAAAAAGATAGAAAAATGGGCGATGCAAACACACCATTTACATTCAAGAGTTTCTCGTGAAGTCCTGACGGTTAGAGCAGCCTCAACACGGCCAGGATACCGTCCTGAGTAGTGCGTGCTGCAGTGTTTAAGAGTGAGCGGTTGCCGTGAGCTGGTCCAGTCTGACATGAGACAATGCAGCCTAGCGATGTGTGAAAGCTCCAACTACTTTCACCGGTCATGTAACAAACAACTTTGGCAGTAAATGGACAAAAATAAATGTCCCACCTAATTGTGACCAATATACCTCGGTGGCCGGTGCTGAATACTGAAACAAGCCCCCAATAGACCGCCATACCTTGTGGGCCGCGTGGAGAATATTTAATGGCCTACCCAATTGCTGCAAAAGGAATTAGCACTTCAACTTTGAGTCACCACTTTCAGATCCAAGAGAGAAAAGATTGTCTTTCTTTCAGAGGTGTGCGACTGTAAAGTTTCTGCCTCCGACTGGCTACATCTTGATGTCCTCCAGTTGACTGAGTTGGGAAAGGGACTTTTTGACGCGCAGGGCGGTGAGGCGGGCAGAGGCGTTGGCATACCAGCACTCGCGCATGACTTTCCCCATCACGCGCAGGCTCTGCGAAGCGGCAGCACAAAGACAGGTCACAGTCAAGGCGGTTGGGGTGGCTCGTTCTCCGCTTGTTGCAGAGGTTCGTGGTTCGAATCCAGGCAGGCCACTCTGGATAATACCGCAGCTGGATCGTGTGTATAATATGTATGTGTGTGTGTCGTCTCCACAGTGCCCCTATGTGTGTGTACATGTTGAACTTCTTTCGCACCGTACGTAACCAACCGTGCTAAATTGTAGAACGTTAAAGATCCCATGCTGTGGGCAATTATGTGCCGGCATCATGGTACAAATTATGAAATGTACCCCCAATATAATCTATTTGGATCAAGCAACATTGCACCTCCGATAAGCACGAGGCCTGCAACGGCACACGACGAGGTGGGTGGCCAACACCACCGCCTTTGCATCCCCAGCGGCGGCGTTTTTACACACCGCACCAGGTACTCATTTGAGGCCGAGTCGACCTCAGGAGATGCCCAGGACCGGTTTAGATGTTCGTCACTGATGTCGATGCCGCGAGCGAGAATCGAACTCTGGTAGCTGGGTTCACAGAGTACAGCGCACGAACCACGCATGCGTACCTCGGAGCTCTGCCAGCGGTTGGGGACGTTAGGCCGGAGACTTTGCTCGCACACGACTCTCCGCATGTCATCCACGGAGGGGTCCGGGGATACCATGTCATAGTACGGCAGCTGGTAGTCCTCGGTAATTCCTGCAAGGAGAAGACGTCTTAGGACTTCACAGCAAGCTGCAGCATGTCGTTGACGGGGTAACTGCAAGATCCGGAACCGTGTCCGTCCGGTGTTCGCCGAGCTGTATTGGCTTCCGGTTGCTGAACGAATTTGTGAAAAGCTCGCGCTCGTTACGCACAAAGCGCTTGCCACAAATGAACCGCAATAGCTTTATCTCGTCAAGGAGCATATCACATCACGAAACCTCCGCTCGTTCTCGCAGCGACTTTTTGGCTAACCATCGAACAAAGCCGGTCGCTGCATCGCCCTCTTTCAGGTGCGCTTCTGCGGCCGTCTGGAACGCTCTTCCTTCCGATGGTAGGAAGCCACTGGAGTCGTGCACTTTTGAACCTAAAATGAAAACTCATTTCTTGAGAACTGCTTGTTGTTGTGTTTTAGTTTGTTGTCCTTTCCTCGCACCTCTAATTAGCACGACTGGCTGTGTACGGTGCACGAAAGAAGTTCAACATGCATATAAAGATTTTGTCTTTCATTTAATTACGTGTGCGTATCAATGTCACACGAACAAAAAAAATCTCACTACCATCTTGTATTATTGCTGCCTCATAACTCAATACATCTGGTGATCACTATATCATTCTTATGGTGCAAGGTTAGCACGAAGGAATTTGATGTTTTACAATGACAGTCTGCAGTAGTTTCACCGGAGGGGAGTGATGTTGCCGTTTTTTCCCAATCGAGTATTTTCCGGGTTGTTATTTGAATATGGCAAATTTGGGCCATGAACGCCATCAAACAATGGTCTACGCCATTATACCTCCTTTGCCAGTACCAAGATATAATAATAATCGTGTTTTTCCCCTTTTTTCTGGCAACAAAACTGAAACCTTTTAACAAGGAATCATGTGTGCATTAACCACAATACTTGTGGTCAAAATGCAAACAAAAAACACACTGATAAAATATGCATCGTCCTTGAAACTGATAGGTCCACACCAGAGACGGCTGTCTTTTGAGCCTCGTCTCAATTGGTGCTAGACCAGAGAACGCCAAAAGGCGTACAGCTCAAAGACAATGCCACTATCAGAGTAATGAGAGCTCGGGGTGAGCATCTACATCATTAGACCAATCAATTTCAAAGACAATGCATATATTATCAGTGTGTTTTTTGTTTGCATTTTAACCACAAGTATTGTGGTTAATGCGCAAGTGATTCCTTGTAAAAAGATTTTAGTTTTGTTGCCAGAAAAAAATGGGAAAACACTATTATTAATGGTCTACACGTTTGAAATGACATCACGGGATATAACTTCCACCATGAAGCGGACCGCGCGTATTTAACAGTTAATATTTAACAGTTAATATTTAACAGTTAATATACCCGCAGTAATGAATAACCAGGGTGGCCTGCCGGATTCCAACCATGAACCTCTGTAACAAGGGGGGCCCAATGCGCTGCTGCCGGGCTATACCACCACTCCAGTAGAAAACAAATAATATTCAGTGTGTGTCAGGCAAGATCCCTATTGTAGAGCCCAGTTACTAGCCAGCAATGTTCTTTATTCGGCAATGTTAAAGAAAATGATAATGTGTCATAGGTCTCTGCTTGTATATCATTACCAATTCAGTGCCGAAAGGATTTGGCACTTGGTAGTTGCTTTGTGTGCACACATTCAGTCAAATCCACGACGTGACGACCAACAGCTGGTGCCCAAAAGCATCGACATCACCACCAACAGGGCAATGTTTTTGCAGCCGCTAGGCCAGATATGCATCCACTGCTCAATGTTGTACTTCACTGGCAATGACCACCGAAAATTAAGTGGTAAAGAACTCCCGAAAGTTTCACACGATTGCTAAGAGATGTATTACAGTCGTGACGGTTACCCAAATCAAACCCGAACCGTAATCCACTTTCAGTGGTGCATTTGCAAGCAGACTTTAAATGGGTCTCCAATACCATCAATCACACCGCATTACAAGAAACAAACAAAAAGTAATCTAAAATTTTGTGCAGTTGCCCACTTTTGGAACATGAGGACCCCTTTGCCATTGCCTGCACCGTTACCCTCCCATAGTTCCGTTAAGCGATGAGGTAGCATGTTAAACACTGTGGCGGTGGGTTTCTGCGTTTGACTCCAGCAACGATCGGGTTCTGAACGCTTCAAGGAGCCACGCTGGCTACATTTACAAATTCCTAGGTGTGCACGCGTGCAGCACATCGCTGGGCCCCACCAACAACGGCACCACTCTGGTACAAAAAGACAAAGATACCCCCCCTCCCCACCACCACCGTAAAGCCTTTAACAGACTTGTAGGGGCAAGTGCTGTTAAGCGAGCACCCTCTGAAGGCCGGCACGGCACACGAGGGGGCGTGGGTGGTCAACACCACGTCTGGCCACCTTCGTCTCCACTCGTGCTGATGTTCACGCAGGGGATTCGACCGACGGGAGGCTCACGACCAGTTCAGATGTTTGTCACAAAATGTTAGGCTGTGAACGGGAACCAAAGACCAGTATTGACGTCTCCCACAAAGCATCTACCCCACTTTATCGACCCAGGAGGGATGATAAAATAATGTTGTTTTACTATTTTTAGTCCAACAGGTAAGACCCACCGAGATATACATAGCAGCTCTTTTTTCACAAGTGACCTGGCCACAAATGATAGCTCAACGAAGTGGCTTTTCACGCGGACATGCATTGTAGCCAAAAACTCTAAACGCAGGTTGATTCTAAATGTGGAGGGAAAAACCAGAGGACCCAAAGAAGACTGCACACGACCACGGAGAGAGAAACACGCAGACTCCAAATATACAGCAGCAGGCGTCAGGGTTGGGATCAAACCCACGACCTCCTGTAGACCAGGCGAGGTAGTTAACATCTCACCACAGTGGGACCCGTCGACCCCCGAACCAGGAATTGAACTCGCAACCTTTTGTCTTCAAGATGCATGACGCACAGGCGTGGTGTGCATCTACCGCAGTCGTCGCTACCTCCTCCAGGTGCGAGGAGATGCATCGTCAAGGCCAAAGACCCCTGAGTGTCCACCCCCCCCCCCCCCCCGCTACTCCAATGTGCACTCAATGAGCGTGCACTCCTGGCTAATTTTACCATTACAAGAATGGGCAAATACAACAAGGTCTTGACGCTGTCCTCATTCTTAACATATCCTTATAACGGAGAACCAGTGGAATTTGATTTGGTGCAGAGATTTTAAAAAAAAGGGTCATTGTCTGAAAATGTGAGCTCATTCGGTATTTATTTTACGAGCGATGTTTGACCGACGATGGACGAGCCCACCTTCAGGTTTTTTACGCGTGCCCTGCTAAGAATTCAATAAAAGTATGAGCACACAGCGTCTTCTATCGCTGTTCCGAAACTGACAACAGTATTGTGATTTTCCTTGGTTGACAATGGCTGTGTTATACGGCAATTGTAAAATTAGTATCGGTTATGCAGGGTTGTGGAACCAGGGTGCTCTTCAGTGACTGCCAAAGGTTAAATCGCACCATATGCAGGCACAACAACAAGCATTATACCGCTTGGGCGTGTGTGGTTGTACACAAAAAGACAAAGGTCCCCCTTATAACCTCAACAGACTGTTGGGGCAAGTGCTTATAGCGAGCATCTATGAAGGTCGGCACGGCACACAACGGGGTGAGTGGCCAACACCACCGCCTTTGTATCCCCAGCGGCGGTGTTTTTACACACCGCACCAGGTACCCATTTGAGGTTGAGTCGACCTCGGGAGATGCCCAGGACCGGTTTAGATGTTCGTCTGCGAGCGGGAACCAAACTTGGCTCGACAAGTCCGTTCGTAGAGCAGTGCACTAACCACGACACCACTGGCACACTCACTGGCTCCACACCAGGGCTTTCAGCAAAAGTTATTTCTGAGCTGTTGGGCTAAACGTGTGCCTTCACCTGCCATTCAGATATCAATGCATGAATACGCAAATGCCCAAACGACACTACAGTGAGACGGGGACTGATGAATAAGGCAAGTCAATGCTTCCACGAATCCTCCCATTGCTATTCTCTTTCATATTTCTAGGAATCTATTAACGCTGACTCACGAGTGCCTCGGAAGGTGCATTTATGACCGCACCTTCTCGAACCCGTGCAATCAGGGATTGCATTATCACGGAATATTTTTTGTCGGGAGCCCCCACCAACCCCGTGAAAGGTGGAAATATTTTCTAGAGCTCAGCCCTGGACCGCTTCTGCTGGTCACACGAAACCACGCCTTGCAGTGCGACCTCACCTCCGACAACGCACCGCCGCGAGATCTCCCACAGCACCAGCCCAAGGGCGTAGATGTCTCCGCGCTTGAACGAGTCGAAGTGCTTCATGTTGATTGTATCGTCCAGGACCTCTGGTGCCATGTACCTGTTGCAGACGTACACCACGCGCGGGAATATTTAGGGTCGATTGTGTGTAAATGAAAGCTAACTAAAAAATAAAAAAATTCCACATTTGTCCACTGGCTGTAGACACTAGGAACAGATCACCGCCTTCAACATCCTCATAGAAGCTGGTGCCCAGCGCCAAGGGAAAAACTGGAACAGCAATCATAGACAATGGTAAATTCCCACAAAGTGCTGCTCGACTTTTCCAATACACCGAAATGACGAGTCAATTCCTCGCCGGATTTGAACCCTTCTGAATGTGCGTCAAGCACTCTAACCACAGCGCAGCACTTGCCCCCACAGGTTTTTACACGGAAGGCTGCATGAACGGACCCAGTTTAAAACGAAGCGGAGGGCAAGAGCACCAAAGCTGTCGTCGGTGTTTTGTTCCCATGATGTGGAGCATGGGGTCTCGTATCTTGACCCCGTGTCCCCAGCTAACGTGCAGCCCATGACGACAATGCACCCGGCTGTTCTGAACTGCGAAACCTCACCCATTAAGTTGCAGACACGCACAAGTGTTGCTCGTCAATATCAGCAGGTCATGTCCGAACAGCTGAAATACAGCATCATGCGAATATAGATTTCAGTTTTATACATATATGTTATAAAAAATGTATCAATCGTTCGAAATTGCCACACTTTGAACTTATTTACTTAATGGAATCACAAATTTTCTCTGGGTCGCTCTGCGTTGGTGCGTTTTTAACTTAATTATAGCACGGAGTTTGGTCAAGCGCGATTGTAAGATTTTGAATTTGTGTGAAAGCGACCGATGTGTTTTAGTGGATCTCACATCAGAGCGTGCATTACGGCTCGCCCATCCTGCAGTATCACAGCAGAATGAGCAATTTGACAAACACTACTTGCATTGCGCTGTTATTCATTTTTACGTGATTTACAAATAGCAGACGTCACTTGGGCAATACGAAAATTGGGTCGAATGACTGCCCTATAATGATCTAATGAGGCATCGCTTCACACATTAATGTCACTTCTTAAGCGCACGATACATGGATCGAATTGCACGTGGGGTAATCTTCATTCTTCCGTGCGTGTATGTTGCATTTAACAGGTTAGGTTCACGTGAACTATCCAACCCCAAGAAGCTGGTACGTTCGCCAGAACGTAGAATAAAGAATTGAATCAATCCACAAACTCGAGTCACACAAATGTACAGACTAAAGACGGTCGCAGACAGGGGATCGAATCGGTTCACGCAGAGCCCCAGCCCCTGCTCTGCGTGAACCGATTCGATCCCCTGCCAATTGCAGGGTGGAGAGGTGGTCAGGCTTGTGCCCCCCCCCCCCCCCCCCCCCCTCACAGCAAGAAGGCCATGGGTTCGATCCCCATCGCGGGCCCCTTTCCGTGTGGAGTTTGTGCGCTCTCATACTCTTCCGTATGGGTTTTGTCAGTTCTCGTTTACTCCCATAGCTTAAATAAAACATGCAACGTAACTGTTATTGGTAAATAAAAACAAAAACATCTCTATGCTGATAACAATTACCTGCAAATTATTCAACTGGGATTACACATAGCAGCGTAATCCATTAGTGTGAAAAACTGGCAAGACCCTCCTGGGAAAAAAGGAGTCTTGGAGATGAATCAAGACTTTCCTGGGTAAACAAGCTTAATAGTAATAATAACAAAATATTAGTGCTTGCTGAACTGCAATGGCTTCTGTGGCCATTTGGAATGCTCTTCCTTCAAATGTTAGGAAGCCGCTGGAGCTAAGCACTTTTAAATCTAGATTGAAAAATAATTTCTTCAGAAACCGCTTTTTGCGTTTCGTTTTTTGTCCTTCCACTGCACCTCTGATTGGCATGGTTAGCTACGTACGGTGCGAAAGAAGTTCAACACGCATACACCAGTGCATTATTATCCGGAGCTGGGAGAGCGTGGGGGGGCCGGCACAGAGTGGGAGGGCTGCCCTCACTGACCTCTTGGTGCCCACCCGGTTGTTGGGCGCGATGTCGATGGAGTCTGTGGTGGAGTCGTGCCGCACGGCGAGGCCCAGGTCTGCGATGCAGCACGTGCGGTTCCGCTTCACCAGGATGTTCTTGGACTTGATGTCCCGATGGGCGATGGCCGGCTTCCCTGCGCACGCAACGCCACGCACAGCGCCACCTCAATGCTCTGAAACGCCCGTTGACGTGACGACACCTGAACCCTTTCCCGTTTCCGAGACGTCTGCAGGCTGCAGGTTGGGTGTTCCTGTTCACCGCCGAATCTCGGAACGCGCAAGCGGTTAGCGTTAATTTTACCTAGAGGGGCATAGCGCAGTTGTTTTTAAAGATAGACTCATTTTGGTGTAATTTTAAAGGGAAATTATTACTTTTCATGCAGAAAAGAAATGAAAAAAAAGTAAATATTTTAAAAATTGCGCCAAAAATAGTGCTGAAATTATGACAACCACACCACAGAGAATGATAGCGACATGACCACATTCTACAATAGCTGGTGCCAAACTGAGCCACACAGTCTCCTGCATGGCCTTGTGGGAGCCTCGGTACATCTTCATGTCAGATGACGTAACGATATATATTTTATGAGTTTTATATCAATATTTTACTTCCATTAAGGAACAAGTATGTAAATAGGTATGGGAAAGAGTTAACCGTCATTCAAAAATACAAATATTTTTGCATTTCAATTGCCTGGCGACAAAGAAATTGACTCCAAACCATTCAAACGTTACCATTAAATCAAGGAAAATACATCTACAGCATGTGTGTTTTGTTTCAATGTGTTACAGCTAAACTATAGTCATTTCAGAACCATTTTACAAGCCGTATTTCATAAATAATTCCCGCAACGTCAGTTGCTTTGCCACGATGCCACCAGGAATCTTTTTGCACAGTGACACAACGCGGCAACTCACACTTAATGCCGCTTGTTCCTTCCCTCCGCACCTCCGATTAGCACGGTGGGCTCCGTACGATGCGCGAGAAGTTCAACATGAGTGCATACAAAAGCTTGTGAAATATAAGCCATTCATTTATACTAAAAACTATGTATTTACAAACTGAATGTTTTGATCTAGATTCGAAGTTTTCGTGACTGCAGGGATCCATACTCTTTGGTTCTTTCGGTAAAGTCACGTAGGTAGAAAATTGTATGAATGTTTTGAATTCAATGTCTTTATGACTACATGTAGGGACACAAACACATTGAACAATCGAGACAAACTCATTCGCAAGTGACGCACTTTGAATGAATGTTTTGATGGAATACTGGTCAAGGGCTTTATAACAAGTAGTTTTGTAAATGTAATAACAAAAGATGAGAATGCACCTCAATTTGCCAATTTTACAAAAAACCTCTTTCACAACGTAAAAAAAAATCCCGAAACCTACTTCACGGCTCACAACAAAACAATTTGGCAATTAATTTGCGAGATTGTTAAGGGCACCGATATGAGCTTACGTGAGACCACAATCATAGCGAACATAAAACCTCCTCTTCAAAATCGCTCTGACACACACGCAATTTAATTAATCAAAAAAGCCAATGAATGACAGTGTGCATGCGAGCTGTTTGGCAAACACAGCAGTGACATGCACAAGCTGGGCCCCCTTCCAGGGGAAAGAGTTACCAAAGCAAACACAGGCAGCCGAAGAAGCACTCCCCGCCCCCCCCCCCCATGTGTTTTTCGACTTGTTCCACCACGTTGTCCAACGTTTCGCTCTCACACGTAGGGAGACCAAAGTCAATTCGGTTTTCGGAAGAAGTTCCCAGCACATGGAACGAGACGTTTGACGTCGTGCCGAACAATACCCGGCACGACCCAAAACGCACGTCGGAGGGGGTAACGCGACAACAACCGCGATAACCAGCGCTCTTACCCTGCGTGCCGACGATATCCATGTGAAGGTGGGCCAGGCCGCTGGCCACAGACAGCGAGAACTTGACGAGCTCTTCCACTGACAGACTGAAGCGATTCAGGTAGTCGAAGAGTGAGCCCAGCTCGTGGTAATCGGACACCAGCCACAGCTGTGTCCATGTCCCGTTGTCTGTGGAAATACCAAAAGGACAAAAGATCCCCCGCAATGGGACTTTAACAGACTGTTCGAGGCAGTGTTGGTGGTAGCGAGCACACCTATTAAGGCCAACGCGGTACAGGGGGTACTGGGTGGGCAACACCACACCGGCTCCTTTAATTCTCTCCCATGCCGACCTTTACACACCGCACCGGGTACTCATTGAAGGCTGAGTCGACCTAGGGCAGGTCCAGCATCGGTTCAAATAATTATCGCTGGTGTTTGGCCATGAAGCGGGAATCAAACTCAGATCGCCACTGGGCCCACCACTCCCCACACACACACACACAATACGTGAGCAAACTTTGGCAAGACAAAGTAAAACCAAACATCACAATCCTATCAAAAGTAAAAAGTGTCACCTTGCTCAAAGCAGCATGGTTATACGGTCCAATTGTCATGCAAAATCCAGAGCCGTTGGTTAGAATTTCAAACGTTTGCCACAGAGGCTGACCTACCCATACGATCAACATCCAACTTTCCACAACGCCGTACGAAACTGGACGGTTAATTGCAAGGGTGGATGTGCGATGGTCAGGTATGCAACGTTGCACCGTATCACACAAAACACTGACGTGTGAGAAAACATGGATTTGTGTAGGTGGGGCGGGAAGGTCGGCGGTGTGGGGGGTGTGGGCGGTGTGGGGGTTGTGGGGGTTGTGGGGGGTGTGGGGGGTGTGGGGGGTGTGGGGGGTGTGGGGGGTGTGGGGGGTGTGGCGGGTTAGGTCACCCTTGTTGTCGGCGGCGATGAAGCCCAGGATGTTCTCGTGACGTAGCATGACTGTCTGGTAGATCTCGGCCTCGCGGAACCACGAGCGCTCCTCGCGCGACGAGAAGATCTTGACGGCGACGTCCTCTCCGCGCCACCGGCCGCGCCACACCTCGCCAAAGCGGCCCTTGCCGATGCTGTCCTGCAGCATGATCGTGCGCGCGATGGTGCGCTGCACCAGCAGCGGCAGGCCTGCGCACGGGGGTTCAGCGGCGTTTGCGTATGCGTGCGGGAACTTCGGCCGCGCGTTGGCACATCGATCCCTGGCAGCAGGGAATCATTTGCGAGCGCAGGGTAGGGCGAGCGCATCGAAACATTTCAGTGGCATACCCCGTATTCAGTTTCAGTGGCCAAATGTAATAAGCACTTGTGTGTGAACCAAACCCCAACAGGGCACGGATCTAGCTGTGGTGGGGTGGGGGGGTGGCGGGGAGAAATGCGGGCACAGGGCGGGCACTCGGGCAAGCCAAGATTCCCTCTACTGAGCCCCGTTAATCTTATCACTTCAACAAAAGCTGATATTTGCAGGGACTGAAGCGGCTTGGGTCGTACAAAGGCAACATTTCAAAACATGCCCGGGTCGCAGCGTGATAAAAGCGCTCACCTCACATCAGATTCAGGGGTCATCTCAACCCATCATCCTGCTAGGGTAGATAAATGCCAGTTTGCGGGGCAGCAGCAGCGGGTATTTATATAGGACCGCTGGTCCTGGCCAACAGAGATGAGCACTACCCAAAGCTTAACTAGAATGGAGACTCGCACATTGTGTTAGAAAGATGAGAAGAGGTTACCTTTGGTTAAAGGAGATTCATGCTCAGTGTTTATTGTTGAGTGGCAGATTGCGTGTTGTGCGATAGTGTGGGTAACTCCAACCTCTTTCCGAGACGCCTGACCACCGTGGTAGAGAAGGCCCAAAAAATCCCATCCCAGAGAGGGGGGGGGGGGTGGAATCCCTCGAGCTACCTTTTGTGGGGGCCCCTAAGCCGTAAGTGGGCAATTGCACGGCTGCACCTCTACGACGTTTTAGGAATTGCCACAGTTGTGCATACCAGAGCCCGAGCCGGTGGTGGTGTTGTCGTAGAGGTCACGGATGCTCGTTCCCTCGTCGATGAACACCTGCTCCAGCGGCAGTGGCTCCTTGGTGTGCAGCGGCGCGTGCAGGGCCCTACGGGTACCCCGGTGTCCCCGAAGGATGCACAGGCCGGCCGTGACAAGCAGGCAGAGCAGGCAGGCCGGCACCCCCACTGCCACCACCATCTCCAGCGGCCCAAATTCTGAGTCGGCCTCACGCTCTTCTGAGAAACGAGCAACATTGAAATCAAAGTGGCCGAAACAAAACAATTGTTGAAGGAGTAATGTTTTGGGATTTGCCGTTAAAGCAAGGGCTTTGAAATCTCCCAGTTAGTGCTATACAAACCACAAACGAAACGCAGGCTGGGATTAGGTTTTAAATCAACAAGCCTTTCACTCAAAAGACGCAGCTCTTAATCTCTTCGCCTCCCCTGTTGTTTAACTTAACATCCCCTATTCCTCTGACAAAGTCCCGCAGCCCCCATTCCCCAGGCCAGACACCACTGGTTTAGAGACAGCACTGTATGAATCCCTTTATGTGGAGGAATCTTGATACGGATGACTGCAGCCATGGCAACAATGAATTCCCTTTAGCTCACTATAAACATCCACGCGACATTGATAAAACAAACTAAAATAAAAAAAATTAATTCACTTACAATCCATCGAATAGCTGTGCTTCTTTAATTGGAAAAGTTTTGAATTCCAAATACGTTGGGTTCTTAGAAACCATTTGTGTGGAAGTCACAAATAAATAAACTAATAAAAGGTAAACGTAGCAGCCAGGCACAGAGGACAGTTGTGAGAAGGGACGCCAAGATATAAAAACTTGGATATCAGCGCGGACGGTCAAAAGGCTCTGCGCATTTGAAGTACAGTACAGCGACTATATTTGAAGCCATGTGATATGGAAACTGCCCAGGGCTATTCATCGACACCGTCAGTTTGGTCCACGAAAACACCCACCGGCCGAGTCGGACAGGCTCAGGTCGATGTCGTTACAAAAGTCGGTGTTGCAGCAGCGCGTCCTGCTCGGCGGGGCCGAGCGGGCGCAGAAGAACGGCCGGTCGGGTGGCTGCAGGTCGCGTGCCGGGATGCACACTCGTATGTACGCCATCCCGTTCTCCGGGGTGTGCGTGACGGACACGAGGCAGAGGCCGTCCGTCTCGCACGTGAAATTGCTGCGAGCGCACAGCTGGCACACGCAGCGCAGCCCTGCGAAGAGGCGCGCACAAGCAAACAAAGACAAAGGTCGATTTAAAGCTTTCGTGACTGCAGGGATTCATCTTCTTGGTTCTTTCGGTAAAGTCACGTAGAATGGAAATAATAAAATAATAATTAAATAAAAATGTCTCCTCGACAGACCTGATCTCCACCTGAGGACGGCTGCTTGCGTTGTGGCCGAAACGTCGTGAGAATTATTTTATTATGTTTTATTTTTATTATTTTATTATTTCCATTATACGTGACTTTACCGAAAGAACCAAGAAGAAAAAAGACAAAGGTCCCCCGTGTAGCCTTCAACAGACTGGTGGGGCAAGTGCTGTTAGCGAGCAGCACCTGTGAAGGCCGCCACGGCACACGAGGGGGTGGGGGGTGGCCATCACCGCTCCCCGACCGCATTTGTCTCCACAGTGGCGATGTTTACACACCGCACCAGGTACTCATGGAGGCGCGCACACACACACACACACAACTGCACATTTACAAGGGGATGTGACTTGCGGCTGCCACCCGGGATTGCCACACTCGCATTGTGATTCTTGTTATTACCGACCAAACATTGTTGCCATTTGAAAGACTTTTGTGTTCGAGTTAAACTTTAATCCACACGTCCAGTGAAGACAAGTTGGAAGTATTTATTGGACTGGTGGACGATGACATTTCTTGAGTTTAAAATGTTTACCTTTTTATGGGAATGAAAAGTGTGGACCTATTTCTTATCAGTATTAAATTTATTTTATTTCACATAAACGTATCAGACAATTTTTTCAGAATCGTAACACAAAAATGAAACAAATTAAAATTGCATTTCGTGCTGCGTGTACTTTTGAAGGCCTACGTCAAAGCATCCAATACTGAACAATGTGTCTGACGTCCAGTGTTTCTATCGGGAAAATCTGCACGTGAAGATTAGTCTGTGCACCCAAAATGTGCGGTAAATTCCGACATTGCCCGGTGTTTGAGCGCAGTGGGCGCATTTAAGAGAACAGTCAAGTCAGCGCACCGCTGGCTGAAACCTACCACCGCCGGAAATAACTTCACAAGCGTCTTACTACTGCTTCGCGAGGCCCGAATTCAATGTGCCTCTATGCGAAAAAACAGGTCTTAGATGGTTGCATGGCTGCGTTTGGTGGTCCCGAGTTCAGCGATGGAAATTTCCCACTCCCGTGATGCAGGCCGGTTCTATGAACTTGATAAGCACTATACTCTTTGGTTCTTTCGGTAAAGTCACGTAGGTAGAAAAAATAAAAACATTTCTACCCACGTGACTTTACCGAAAGAACCAAAGAGTATGGATTCAAATCAAGATTGATAAGCAGTGTTGATTCGGGGGGGGGGGCGGGGGAAAATAAATGGGGCACACACACACACCAATGTAGCTATTCGTACAAAGTTAAATTCAAATAAGGAAACGGACATGAATAAGTAGCCAATTTACAGACTTGGCGTTTAGGATAACGTTTATCACTGCAGGTGTATGCAATCTCTTTACTAAAACAAAAAGACATACATGATTCAAATCTAATACGTGAATCTCCAGTGGCTATTTCAGGCAAACAGAGTATACAGTGTTGTATATTTTGTTGCGTAGCACTGTACATAAAAAACAGCCACATCTCCAACCAGCTTTGCTTGCACCTCGGTTACTATTCATTGCATTTAAATAGAAAACATTAAAACGCTGCCCTTGTGTGTCCTTATGGGAGCACGGCTTTTGATGAATCGCCCCGCCCGCCCGCAATATGCAGGGGCCATCTCACGCGAGTTATTAATACTTAGCGTGCCCTCACAAGCCCACCAATAAACTGGTGGGGCATGCATGGACAAACGCACAGGGGCAGACATGGGGCAGTACACACGGCAGGCACAGGGTGGGTAAGCGTGCACAAATACACCGGGGGCATGCATGGACTGAGACACAGGTACGTGCATAGCAAAATACACAGGGCAAGGGTGTGGGATAAACGCGGTGGATACAACGAGGAGGAGGGTGATGACAACTTTGGCACAACGGGTAAGAAACATTCTGACCACAAACGCCGAGACGGTCACAACGAGGATGGTGGTGGTGTGGGACACGAAAGTTCAAACACGGCGGCGATCACACGCAAATCTGGGTGGGGTGGAGGGAGAAAACCACAGGGAGACAAACACCGTGCGACAAAACGGAGCCACCCTCGCTGGCTCGCTGGTTGGCTCACTGACTGGCTCACTCGCTGGCTCGGTGGCAATCGCGGATGCGATGCTGGAGGCCGTCAACACCTCGCACCACGGGCAGAGCCGAGGTGGCCAAATGGTCGTCCTCCCCAAGCGGCTCCGTGTATGTCGCGCATGCACGCGTTGTGAGCAGCACGCACGTTCCTGTAGCGCTGAACTTATTTCGCGCCGCACGTAGCCAACCGTGCTAATCGGAGGTGCGGGGGAAGGACAAACTGAACTGAACACAAAAAAGCCGTTTGAACGGAGTTTTTACTCCATCGAGAAGTGCGCGTGTGTGTGGAATTCGTTAAGTGTATGTGCGAAGTGACCTTGCTTAATATACACGCGGTACTGTTTATGCTTGGGGGTTTGTGACAGCTATGCATACGACAAGTGTTTTCGCCAAGCCTATCTATGTGTATAAGTATGCGCTTGAGTGTATGTTCTGGAGTCTGTACGAGTGTAGTGGACATCGCTGTACGTCAACATGCAGTGCCAACCCTACAGGACAGGGTGTGTGGGTACCGGCCGAGGGATGAGGTTACTCGAGGCCATGGCACTCTGGTTGACCCGGGAGGACACGTGACCGGTTAAGTCTACAAAGAGGCCCCAAGTGGGGGCTAGAGGTGGTCACGTGGTTGGGACCCAGATCCTGCTAGAGGATTCTGGAAGGTGGGCGTGGCCAAGGGCGGAGCCGGCCACGCCGCAGAGAAGATAAGCCGGGTCCCGATAGGGACCGGCGTTGTTGTTCATCCTGGAAGAAACCTTCATCTACGTTCACCGTTCAACGAGTCTCCAACACGTGGACCTGGACCCAAGCTGTTGGTCCCGGTCCGTAGTAGCAGCTACGTGGTAACTAGTGTAGCTAGCCTGGTGGTCACCACCTGGCTAACTAAACCAGTCACGTGGTAACTAGTGTAACGAGCCTAGTGGTCACCACCTGGCTAACTACACCAGTCACGTGGTAACTAGTGTAGCGAGCCTGGTGGTCACCACCTGGCTAACTACACCAGTCACGTGGTAACTAGTGTAGCTAGCCTGGTGGTTACCACCACAGGTTGTTATTCTGTTAAGGGGAAGTTACCCCATGTGTTGGACTTGAATAAATATGTTAGCCTCCAAGTCTACGTCTCAGTTGAACCCATTACACGAGTATGTTTGTAGGTGCTGGGTCTGTGTGAGTATGTATGAGCTAGTGTGTGTGTGTGTACGAGTCGGTCAACCCATGGCACCTGGGTTTTTCCCGTGACCTGTTGCCAGCGAACGTTCGACACTTAAACCTCATGGTGGGACCCCGGGGTTCCGAATAAATGGAATTCAAAATCGTAATTGATGAATTTATTTTTGGCGACTCCGTCCCACCGCGTACATAAACACCGCGACCCGCCTGGCGCGGATCATTCCGTTGTCGTGTCGTGTCCAAGCGCAGCAGCGAGGACGAATGCCCAGAAGAAACAAAACTTTGATTAGCGCATCGTGTCGAGCTCGTCGAGAGGAATAGATTGCCGTATCGTTCGCCTTCAACAGGCATAAAATGACGTCCCAACGCAGTTTATGCGAGAACCGGGGGCTTATGGGACCCCGGGGTCCCGCCATAAGGTTCACTTCACATGGCCTTAAAGTGCACTTAGCCTGGCACAAGCCCCGTGGGTGACATCGCCGCCACATAGGTGCCGAACGGCGGTTGTTTTTGGGAGTCTATACGCGTGTCTATATATATACATACACACGTGTTTTAGGTCTGTGTGCAGCATGCATGGGCAGAGCAGTGTGTGTGTTGTGGTTTATCGCACTCGCCGCGCAACGAACCCATCAGCATTCCCAAATTCGATTCCAGCAGGGCCACGGTTAAACCCTCGAGCGGTGAGCCACTGACGCGGCCGCTTGGAAGACAAATGCTCAGCAAGGTCAGATTCTGGCCCCATGCATGGAAATCCCCAAAAACCTCACACGTGTCGTTGTGACCTGAGAATGGGTCGCTTCCTAAAAGCACCTCAAACTCAAACGTTCTTCACGCGACTGGGGTGGGGGGGGGGTAGGGAACCTTCGTAATTTTGACTGCGGGATTGAATGCACTATGCTGAAGCAATCTGGCAATAAGGCTCGGTGCTGTTGTATTTCCTACGACCGTGTGTGACGATGTCGGCGAGTGTTTGCACGTGTTTAAACGCACGCGTGGGCGTGTGGCGAGAACATTTGGAGGCAAGATTGTGAGCGATCAGTGTCATATTTTTTTACCACCACAGCAAAGCACTGGCCCAAAACGCCAAACAACAAAACGCACAGTCAACGTTGTACTACAGTGGCTACGAGTTGAATTGAGCAACGGTTATCATCGGGCAATCTTGTGGAAAGGAGACGGTGGGACGGGAATTCCATGGGAGAGCAGTGGCAACGAGGTGAGGGCGCAGAACGAGAAGCAACGTGACCCACAACGAGCGAGAACGTACGAGTGGGTGGGTGAGTGAATGTTTGATTGGGACCTGCAATATTTGCCGCTTGCTTTAACGCAGTGGCGCAGTAAGTGACCCAGGCGACCCACGTCGGTTCATTCAAGTTCATTCAAGTTCATTTATTAGGTATAGCCCTGTGAGCCATTCGGCTCTTGAATCGGGTGCAACCGCAACAAACAAAAAAACTAAAACATGAACAAAAAACATCTTAAAGTGAATATGTGACTAAGTGCAAACAGAAAATCCAAGAAAAGACAGCAAAATATTGCAGAAAAAAACACCGTACACGGTGTGGATGGCATGCGTCGTGAGTCCGTGTCCCTCACCCCCCCTTCCCCCCAGGTCTTACAGGGCCACGGTCGTCTGCGCTGATTCATATGGAGAAGGGAAAAGCAAAAACTCTCTCCTGAACCCCTCCCGCGGCGGACAGAACCCCTCCACACCCCCGAACCACATCGCTGCCATCAGGCGCAAGAATAGCACCACCAACCCCGCAATGATCAGCGTGGAGTATGCTCAAACCACGGCGTCCTCTATCTGCTGCTGGATGGGGAATGGTTTAGATCGTGTTTTACTAATGTTGTGCTTGAGTCAATGGTCCACATGTATTTGAACCACTTAAGAGCGGATGAGTGGGGTTGGTCTGCCCTGCGGTCAAGAGGGTGGGAAGGAGTGGTGGCGCAGTGGTTAGCGCACTGCGTTAGGAACCCTGCAACCTCAGCTCGATTCCCGGCCCTGGCTAACGCGAGCGATATCGATACCGGTCCTGGGAACCCCCTCTGTTTACCTACCCGGACTAACCAGTTTAAAATATGTTAAAAAAAAACCCGTAACCCAACAAGGCGTGGGAGAGGACCCCTCCCCCCCAAACTTCCTTCATCCAGCAGTGGATTGACAAGGACTGTGTACGCACGCACTCTGGTATACTGCACGCAGAACATAAACCCGCACCACGCGTACATCCGTGTACACACCAGGCGCCCACGTGAGTACACGTACCAACAACGCACGAGAGATATTGGTGGTAGGCGCATGGAACCACCAGGGGCTCGCCACCACTGCGTTCGAGACGCGGCGTGCGCGCTTTTAAAGCCTCCAAGTGAAAGGCGATGAATGAACGAGAGAGGAGAGAGAGGAGAGATGGATCCCCCACCGCGCCTCCTCCTCCTCTTCCTCCTCCTCGCAACGACATCAGAGCACGTGCGAGTGTGGCGGGTTCGCTCCATACACAACCACGCGTCCAACACACAGACACACAGTCACACAGACACACAGACACAGTCACTCACAGACACACAGTAAGTCACACAAACACACAGACACACAGTCAGTCACACAGACACACAGTCTCACAGTCACAATCACACAGACACAGTCAAACAGACAGAGACACACAGTCACTCACACAGACACACAGTCAGTCACACAGGCACAGTGTCAGACACACAGTCCCACAGTCACACAGACACACAGACAGACACACAGTCCCACAGTCACACAGACACACAGACAGACACACAGTCCCACAGTCACACAGACACTGTCTCGCAGACACACAGTCACTCACACAGACACACAGTCTCACAGTCACAATCACACAGACAGACAGTCCCACAGACAGTCTCACAGACACACACATAGCAACACAGTCTCACAGACACAGTCTCACAGTCACACACAAACACAGTCTCACATACACACATACAGCCACACAGTCTCACAGACACAGTCACACACACAGACAGACACACAGTCTCACAGACACACACACAGTCACACAGACACACACAGGCACACAGTCACACAGTCTCACTCAAGCACGCTCCCTCGCTTCCACCGTCGCCGCCGTTAAAGACGACAATGCTGCTACTGCTGCTACTGCTGCTGCCCCTACTACCTCCTCCTCGTTGTTCCCAGCGTCCTCCGCACACACCGCGGGACAGAGACAGAGGGCTGCTGGGGGGTGACCCCCCTTCACAGCAGCAGCAGCAGCAACAGCACGTACCTGCGGCTGGCTGTAGGAGGCATACGATAGACGCGAGACTCAGGGCGGCCAGCACTGGCGGGCAGGAGGCCCGCGGGCCCCGGAGGCCACAGAGCCGCCACCACCACCACCGCTTGGCCATGCCGCGTGGCCGCTGTGCAGTGTCCGAATCAGCTGGGTGCCAACCCCCTCCCCCCCCCCTCTTCACCGCCGCGACTGCTTCCGCGGGGATGAGCCGAGCAGGCGGAGGGATACGACTCTGTGCCCCCCCCTCCCCCCTTAACCCCCCGCTGCTACCCACGCCCCACCCCCATCTCCCCCCCCCCCCTGCAGCGTCGGCCCCGCCCCTTCAATTTCCCAAACTTTATATATTCTTTGACTCTTTGGTGATTTCGGTAAAGTCACGTAGGTAGAAATAAAATAAATAAAATATAATTATTTTATTTTCTACCTACGTGACTTTACCGAAAGAAATCAAATAAATAAGAAATAAAATACATTTCTTATTTTATTCCTACGTAGGTAGAAATTAAATAAAATAAATAAAATTATTTTTTTATTTTATAAAAAAATATATAAAATAATTTTATTATTTTATTTCTACCTACGTGACTTTACCGAAAGAAATAAAGTAAATAAAAAATAAAATAATTTTTTAAAATTTCTATTTAATTTCTACCTACATCACTTTACCGAAAGAACCAAAGAGTATGGATTCCTGCAGTCACGAAAGCTTCAAAATCAAGATTGAGATTATTTGGGTCATTCGGTAAAGTCACGGAGATAGGTTCAAATTAATTAAAAATAAAATAAACAAAAAACCACTACACAAGCCATCGTCATCAGGACGATCG